CGGTCAGACACACTCCCGGTTACCACAGGTTAGCCACCAGGAAATCATACTCTCGGGGAAACCTTTTGTTCTCTTAAGCAAAGGAGAAAAAAAAGTGGGAACACTGGGTCCTTGGAACTTCTGCACATGGAATTGGACCAAGTCCTGTGGCTGTGGCCCACGCCAAGGGCTCCAGTTATAAAGCAGAAAGGGAGGTAGGGGAGAGGAGCACACAACTGTCTCCCGTCTCCCTCTTTCATGCCACCTGCCTACAGCCTGCTCACTCAGGGGCCCATATCTGGCCAGTTCCCTGCCCCCCCTTTTTTCTTTTTTCTTTTTCTAGATTGAGGGCAGCATGAGTTCAGACACAAGTGTCCACCAGAAAGGGCTGTATCCAAGGTCCCTTAAGGCAACCCATACTAGCAACAGGTTGCGTACACTACCAAGGATGCTGCTGTTTGCAGCCATTGCACACCAGGCTCCCATGGGGAAAAGAGCATGGTCGGCTTAATTGGCTGCAGCTCCCTGCCCCTTTAACAGTGGGGGGAAATCACCATTGACCAAGAATTTCAGCCAGAGCAGCACCTGCCACCTGGGACCCAAAGCACCTACCACTAGGGACCAAAAGTGCTCCAGGAATGCCACCTGGACATTAGGACACTTTATACAACAGTGAATCCAGAGAGGAGTCTGGCTGAGGAGTGAAGATACCAGGTCAATGTGAATAGGCGGGCCACACAGTGTTGCCCAGTGACTAGGGAGTAGAGGAATGAATGGATCCACAACTCCCCAAAGGAGATGGGCTTCAGAAAGGGCGAGCACACACTGAACTCAGCAGTAGGTGCTTTGATTCCACGTTACCAAGCAACCAGACTCCCCTGAGGTGGCAAGGAGGTGGAGCCTGCCCTGGTCAGACCAACCTGCCCACCTCTGCACTTGATGGTGCACTTCTCAGTGTAAATCTACAAGCCGGCATTTCCAGAGAGAGTTCAAGAACTAGTGATTGATTCCTACTCTCTCCCAGGTACAGTGCTTGAGCCGACAATACAGAATGAATGGACATGGTCTCTCATATAATGGAGCCAACAGTCTAGTCGGGAAGACAGGAAATACACAAATAGAAAATGAAGAGATGATATAACTTCACATAGTGTGAGTGTTACCAAGTGAAGCAGATGAATGGGAAAGGGAGTCACTGGTGCTTGGAGGCAGAGTGGTCAGGGAAGGCCGAGACAGCAGTGAGGGAAGGAGTGAGTCAGAAAAGGGTCCAGGCACAGGGAACAGAAAATGGAAGTGCCTGGGGCTACACGAAACTTGCTTTGTCAGGAGCTGCAAGGAGGCCAGGGGGTCAAAACGTGGTGAGCAGAGGAAGAGCTTTGTTGATGAGTGGACTGCCCTGTCCCGACCCCGCTGGCTAGGAGAAAGAGATGGCAGCGCTCATATATTACTAGTGTGAGGATAACTTGGTACAAGACTGTTAGAAAGCTGTTTGGCAGTATCTACTAAAGCTAAACATACGTCTACCCAATGGCCTGGCAATTCCGCTCCTCAATATATACCCACAGAAACGAGTACATAGGTTCACCAAAAGGCAAGTACAAGAATGTTCTTCATAATGGCCCCAAACCTGGAAACAACCCAAATGCCTGTTAGCAGGAGCATGGAGACATACATGATGATAGTCTTATAATGAAATACTATAGATCAGTGGAAAAGACCAAACTATAGCCCCAGGTTGTATGTATAGGTGAACTGCACAGTTCAGTGAAGGAAGCATATGAGTAATATATTGTATGATTCCATTTATAACGAGTTCAATGACAGGAAAAATGAATCTATGGTAGTTTCCTTTGGGCTGGAAATGTTCTAATATCTAGATCTGGATGGTGGTTACAGAGTGCATATCATATATAATTACTCATTGAGGTATACACTGAGGATCTGGTATACTTTAAATACATCATTCCTCAAAACTTTTTAAAAAGGGGAAATAATAGTCTTTTCAACAAATAGTGCTGGTAGAACTGGATATCTATATGCAAAAGAATGAAGTTGGACCTCATCCTTATACAATATACAAAAATTAACTCAAAATATACCACATATCTAAATGTAAGAACAAGACTCCCTAGCTAGTTTGGCTCAGTGGATAGAGTGTTGGTCTGCGGACAGAAGGGTCCCAGGTTTGATTCCAGTCAAGGGCACATGCCCAGATTGTGGGCTCGATCCCCAGTAGGGGGCGTGCAGGAGACAGCCAAGCAATGATTCTCTCATCATTGAGTTTTCTATCTCTCTCCTCCCTTCTTCTCTGATTAAAATAATAATTTTAAATGCACTAAAGCTGTTTTAAAAAGGGTGTGTGTGCGCCTCTGTCACTTTGCATGGCCCTGGTCCCGTCCTGAGTTACAGGATCTGGAAGTTACTGGCCAAAGGAGAGATGTGCATGGATGGAGCTGAAAAGTAAGACCATGCACCAACATGAGCCCCAGGCTGCAGCTTCCTGTGTCCAGGAGCACACGTACATAGATTCCTGCCTCTGCATTCCATGACACAAGAACAAACGGAAACAGCTGAAGAGCTTAGGTCACAGCTTTGACTGCTGCTCCACTGGCCAACACTTCTCCAGGACATTCCCAGGATTGACTTCCCTCGGGTTATCAACAAACTAGATTGGCTTATCCTAGAACAGCGCTGTCCAATAGAAATACAATGTGAGTCACATACGTCACTTTAAATGTTCTAGTAGCCACATTTTTAAAAAATGTAAAAAGAAGCAGGTGAGATTAATAGCTCCATGTGGCTAGTGGCTGTCAAATTGGACAGCACAGTTCTAAATCTGGATCATGTTGCAAAATGAGTATTTTCAAAAGAAGTATATAAAAATATCAATTTATTCATAACAAGTACTGAGGAGGAAACCAAGGGCCAGTGAGGTGAAGTTCCTGGCCCAAGGCCTTAAGTTGCTTAAGAGCAGAGAGTCTGTGGTCAAGTGAGAATTATCTTGTCATAGAGTCGATGCAGAGATGACAGGAGATAACCATGGGAACTGATGGGCATGGTGCCCAGCTTATGTCCACTACTCACACACCAAGAAACACCAGCTCCATCATCATGAGGCTATTAACACTAACACCACCCAGAGAGAGAGGGTAATTGGGAAGAAGGCAGAGACCGCTTGGGGTCATCAACCGGGGAAACCCTGGCTTGGAGACCTTTTACCAAGACCACCCCCAGAACAGCCGGAACCACTCACCGGACTGGTGGGTGAGGAAACCATGAGGCTCAGTCCAGCTCCGTCATCCACCGAGGGCCTCTGCTGCCCATCCCCTTGGCCGACTGCTCTCACAGGACTAGAAGGCTGCTGGTCTGAAGTGCTCCTCGAAGTGACAGCTTGGGCAGTGCCCAGATGCTGCAAGCCCAGGATGCCAGGTGCCAGGGAAAGCGGTTCCTGCTTGTGGCCACCATTTGCAGGCCCAGAGGCTGCTCGGGCAGGGAGGGGCTCTGCGGGCGCCTCGACGTGCAGGTGTGTGCTGGTGTCGAGGCAGAGGCCGTGCAGGGAGAGTGAGGCCTGCAGTGCGGGCATCTCCGTTCCTCGGCTCAGTCCGTTGGTTGGCACAGAGTTTACCTGGGCTTTGTTGAATTCAGACAACACCCTAGAAGTTTTTAAACAAAGAAACCTGTGTGACAGGTTGTCAGCTAGAATGCCCATGGCTACTGGGTTGTGGTAAGAATGGAAAACTGCTGTCTTGTGACTTAAGAAACAACACTCTTTTTTAAAAAAAATACTCACCTGAGGGTATTTTTTCCATTGCTTTTCCAATGGAGAGAATGGAAGGGAGCGAGGGAGGGGAAGAAAGAAAGAGAGAGAGAGAGAGAGAGAGAGAGAGAGAGAGAGAGAGAAACATTGACACTGACTGGTTGCTACATGAACGTGAGACCTTTGGTGCCTGGGCTGACAGACCCTATAATCACTGAGTCACACTGGCCAGGGCAAAACAACACTCTTCATCACCCACTGCTCTCCTCCGGTCACGCAGCCGCCTCCTCTGACACTCAGCACCACCCTTTCTCCGCAGCTGGCAAGTGAGCTGTGGAGCCCAGGATTGCAGGTGAAAAGCTCACACAGCAGAGGAAAGGACTTGATGTGAACGGGAACTGATTGCCTTTACCGGCTGCACAGGCTCCCTGTGGGCCTGGAGAGTTTGCCCGGCCAAACCATCAGCTGTGTGGGCAGTCATTTCCCGAAGCCGACTGTGGCACAGCCCCGTGAACAGAGTGTCTCAGAGCTGGGCTCCCCAACGGCACCGAGGCACCAGGACTCCAGCCCCGGGGACATGGACTTAGCTGAAGTGAGGACCCACCTTGTTCCTGGAATAGTATCTGGGCAGTAGGGTTGGGGTGAGGTGCAAGGGCTGGTCCACCTCAGAGCTGGACTGGCTATGGAGTCAGAGAAGGCTCCCGTTCCCAGAAATTGCTGCTGGGGGTCAGTGTACACAAGGTGTGCAAGTGTGCATACAAGTATACATGAGGTGTGCTCCTGCTCACTCCTCCCAACGGAACTGGCTCTTCCTGCCCCTAAGTGGTGCTTCTGGGGCCAGTGTTACTGACTTTGTGTACACACACACACACACACACACACACACACGCACGCACGCACGCACACATGCACGCAAAAACATACTTCTGGGCCTTCTGGAATGTGCACTGGCTAGTGGCTGCTCTGTCCTCCCTCTCCTGAGGTTTCTGGGAATCTAAGTTCCATTTCTGAAGTAAGTCTATTTGCTGGCTCCTCTGCTGCTGATGAACCCAGTTGAGTCCGTCATGGATAAAGGCAGGTTCGGATGACAGCAAAGTGTCTGGAGCCCAGGAGATTGCACACATCTGCCCTAATGGCTTAAACCGGGTCTAGAAGACACATCAAACTCTCCTTCATGTGGGATTATGGAAACTAAGATTTCAGAACTCAAGTTTTCACCTTCTGGCTGAACTCTGCTCTTATCTACACAACACCATCTTAATCCAGAACAACAATTCAAGACATTCCAGTCAAGAATAGGTGACCAACCCAGACATTTATGGGCAATCGATTTTCAACATAGGCGCCAAGACATTTTAATGGGTAAGAATAGTCTTTTCAACAAATGATGCTGGGATAAGTGAATAGTTCCATGAAGAAGAATTAAGTTGGACTCCTATCACACCATGTTAAAAAAGTAACTCAAAATGGATCAAAAAGCTAAAAGTAAGAGCAAAAACCATAAAACTCTTAGAAGGAGACAGGTATAAATTTTCATATCTTTGGGTCAGGCAATGGTTTCTTAGCTATGACATCTGCATAAGCAGCCAATAAAAAAAATAAATAAATTGGACTTCATAAAAATAAAAACTTTTGTGCTTCCAAAGAATACTACCAAGAAAGCGAAAAGACAACCCAGAGAATAGGGAAAATATTTGCATATTTTATATGCAGATACTATCATATATCTGATAAAGCTCTAGTATCCTGAATATATAGCACTCTTTCTTGTTATCCTCACCTAAGGACATGTTTATTGATTAAAAAATTTTTTTTTATTGATTTCAGAGAGGAATGGAAAGGAAGAGAGAAACATCAATGATGAGAGAGAATCACTGATTGGCTGCCTCCTGCACGCCCCCCACCGGGGATCGAGCCTGCAACCCAGGCACGTGCCCCTGACCAGAATTGAACCAGGGACCTTTCAGTCCGCAGGCCAATACTCTATCCACTGAGCCAAACAAGCGAGGGCTATAGACTTTTTTTATCCTCACCTAAGGATATGTTTACTGATTTATTTATTTATTTATTTTTTTAAGAGAGAGAGAGAGAGAGATGTGAAAGAGAAACATTGATCAGTTGCCTCCCATATGTGCCCTGACCGGGGATCGAACCCACAACCTTTTGATGTACAGGATGATGCTCCAACCAACTGAGCCACACTGGCCAGGGCTATATAGCATTCTTACAACCCAGTAATAAAATGACAACCCAATTTAAACATAGGCAAAGATATAAATAGACATTACTCCAAAGAAGACCTATACATAGCCAATAAGTGCATAAAAAGATGCTCAATATCATTAGACAGTAGTGAAGTACAAATCAAAACTGCAATGAGATCTACTTTATGCCCACGAGGATGGCTACAATTAAAAAACTGTCCATTAACTGAAAAATAGCTAAACAAATTGTGGTATATCCATATAAGGAAACATTATTCAGTCACAATACATGCTGCAACATGGATGAACCTTGAAAACATACTATGTGAAAGAAGTCACAAAAGGCCAGGTATTATATGATTCCACTGATATGGAATGTCCAAAATAGGTAAATGCATAGCTAATGGGTAAGGGGTTTCTTTACTGGGTGATCGAAGTGTTCTTGAACTAGATGTTGCACAACTTTGTGCACATACTAAAAACGACTGAACTGTATACTTTAAAATGGTGAATTTTATGGTCTGTGAATCATCTCTCACTAAACAACAAGGTGACCTATCAGAGAAAGGTGTAAATGTGCTTGTAGAATAGTTATGGAGGATGCAGGCGGGTGCTGGTTCCTGCTCTAAGGCCTCACTCTAAAAACAGAGAGTTAAAAGTCCAGTGGTGCAACCTGCAGGGCACAGGGATTGCTGAGTTCTGGAAGCACAGGGCTAGTCTCCACTGGCCAAGGAGGAAGGGACATTTGCTGACCAGTTGTATGTGTCCAAACCACTGTGACAGACTGGGCCACGTTATGAAATGAACTAGGGAGTCAGATTTTAGGATATGTTTTCCCATTGATTTTCTTAAAATATATTTTTATTGATTTCAGAGAGGAAGGGAGGAGAGAGATAGAAACATCAATGAGGAGAGGGAATCACTGATTGGCTGCCTCCTGCACGCCCTCTACTGGGGATCGAGTGTGCAACCCAGGCATGTGCCCTTGACCAGAATTGAACCCGGAATCTTCAGTCTGCAGGCCGATGCTCTATCCACTGACCCAAACCGGCTAGGGCCCCATTGATTTTTAGAGAGTGGAAGGGAGTGGGAGAGACAGAGAGAGAAACAACTCGATGCGAGAGAGACACATTGATTGGTTGCCTCCTAAACATGCCCCAGCCAGGCCTGAGATCAAACCTGCAACCGAGGTACGTGCCCTTGACCAGAATCAAACCCAGGACCCTTCAGTCTGCAGGCTGACACTTTATCTACTGAGCCAAACCAGCTAGGCAAGGGAGACAGATTTTTATATCCCCTGTGAAGTCCCAGCTCATGGGCTCCTGGGAGGTAGAGTAGTAAGTGATTAAAAGCAGGGAGCCAAGAGTCCTCCTGGCCTTGGTTAGAACATTGCTAAGCACCCCACAAAGGTACCTACAGTTCGTAGATTTAATTCCCTTATCTGTAAAACAGCCATGGTAACAGCACCCACTTTTATGACTGTGACAAAGATTAAATGAGATAATATATGCAAAATGCCTAGAAGAGCGTCTTGCACAAGTTTCTCAATGTTAACCTCAATTTATTATTGTAGCTGCTTTTATTATTATTGATAAGACTGCTTAGCCTCCATGTAAACAAATATAGAACTGTAAGGAAAGGAGAATTATGGAAATACTCACTAGCATTACCAAAATGGTTATTAGTTATAAATGATCCCTACTCTATAAGAAAGATTTTAATGATTGAGTAGACTGGGTGTTAAAATGAGTGATGCATAAAAAAAATGCCACCAAAATTGATTGTGCAATAAATTAGAGCTTCCACCAAACCAAAACCAAGGTCAAGGTGAAATCAAGTTCACAGAGCCTCATCAGAATCAGTTCTGGTCTCAGGATCCAATGAGAATAAGAGATAGATACCTCAACTGGAAAAAGTGCAGAATGAGATTTTGAAGAAAAGGCAAAAAAAGAGAAAACTTTGAATAAAATGCAACATACAAATGAAACAGCCCTGTCCAGGTAGGTCAGTTGTTGGTTAAAGCATTGTCCTGATATATCAAGTCTGTGGGTTCGATCCCCAGTCAGGGCACATAAAAGAATCAACCAATGAATGCATAAATAAGTGGAACAACAAAATCGATGTTTCTATTGCTTTCTCTTTCTCTAAAAAAAAAAAAAAGAAAGAAAAAAAAGAACTGAAATTGCTAGTCTTTCCACTTCTCTCTGGTTCAGGGCAGTGGTGATCAAAAACGTCTGTTCAAAAAATTTCTTTGTACATTCACTTAAAAAACAACCTTAAAAAAGCACGTTATTACATGCGTAAGTGTCTATGTGTGTATGTGTGAAATAAATAAAAAGCATGGCGTGGAGGTTCTGGATGGCCACCTTGGAAAGAACCCCTGCCAAGTGGTCTGAGCCTGTGGTTTCTTGCACAGAGGTGGGCTGCATGGTCTCAGAATCATTTCCCACAAGGGAAGACCTCATGATGACAGCTGACCAATGTTACTAACCAGCTATTCACAGCAGTGCTTATAGAGACAAGAAGTAGAACTCAGGTCATCAGTTCTCAGGAGGACTTAGCAGTAAAGGACAATAACACCACCTATTGGGCACTCACCATGTGTCAGGCACTGCTCAAAGCACTATCTTAACTCATCTAATCTTCCTGGCATCCCTTTGGAACATTCTTATCGCCATTTTACAGATGAGGACGTGAATGTCAGAAAGACTGAGTAACTTGCCCAAGGTCAGAAAGCTGGTTAAGGAAGACTCAGGCAGTCTGGCTCCTGAGTCCACATTTTCAACTACTAGAATGTGCCTATGCTTCTCAGTGATAATTATAATTCAGACTCAAAAAAAACACAAAAGAAGCAAACTGCAATTTGGTTTCAGTGAAATAATTTATCAATATATTTCATTTTGAATGCTAGTGTTTTGTACTTTTCTTTAAGTTTAATTTGTAGGGATTTTTAAAAATTTGTTTTTATTGATTTCACAGAGAGGGAGAGAGAGAGATCATCAGTCAGTTGCCTCCCACATGCACCCCAATCAGGGACTAAATCCTCTTTAATGTGGGCATGGAATCGAACTGGCAGCTTTTCTGGTGCACAAGATGACACTCAATCAACTGAGCCACTCTGGCTGGGCTATTTGTAGATGTTCTGGTTTTACAGCTTTAAGAGGTATAAGCACAAGGTATTTGTGCGTAATTTTTAAGTTACGTTTAAGTAATATAAAAATAGCTTAAGTGAACTCTCAACTGTTGGTGAGACTCTTTACCCTTAAAACATACACTCCAAGAAATGCTAGTCTCTGTGGATGTTCAAAGACTAACTTCCAGCCCAGCTCTAAGAAGGCTGCGTATGTGTTTGCACATCTGTGTGTTCAGTGTATGCTGGTTCCTCACACTAGTGTTGGTCTGTACATCCTGACCCTCTTCCCTTGAGTTAGTTCCCCATAATAACCACACAGGGTGGATGGCCACTGGCTCAATGACCTTAAGCTGGAATTTTCCAATCACAAGATTCATGAAAGATACAGAAAAGACACGTGACAGAGACGGCTAGCTGGTCTGTGGGAGGAGGGAGAGGCAACAAATATCTGAGACATGTGAATGAGCCTAGTCATGCCACAGGCCCAGCCGTGCTGGGGCAGGGCCTGCTCCTTTCCAACATGTTCGAGCTCAATCCTTCTGTTTGACATTTGAAAATTCTATCTCATGCGCACAGTGCTCACAAGCTCTTTCTGGAGCCTATCAGACATTCTTATGTGCGCAACTCACTAACAGGCATTTGATCTGATCCTCAACCAGCTCTCTGAGGCAATCTCCATTTTATTTATTTTTTTAAATATATTTTTATTGATTTTAAGAGAGGAAGGGAGAGGGAGAGAGAGATAGGTACATCAATGATGAGAGAGAATCATTGATTGACTGCCTCCTGCACACTCCACAGTGGGGATCGAGCCCGCAACCCGGGCATGTGCCCTTGACCAGAATCGAACCCGAGACCCTTCAGTCTGCAGGCCGACGCTCTATCCACTGAGCCAAACCAGCTAGGGCCACGATCTGCATTTTAAAGATGAAAAAACAGAACCTCAAAAAGAGCCAGCAACTTGCCTGACATTACTGGACTAGTAAGCGGTAGGACGGGGCTTGAAACGAGATCTGCTCCACGCCAGTCCGTACCACCACCCCAAACTGGTACAATTCCCACACCAGTTGGCATCCCTGTAAAGACCTGAACCAAAGGTGGGACAGCAGGAATGAAAAGAAGGTCCTAAACACTGATGGAACATGGATCCAACTGAAGAAAATGCTTAATAAAAAGGTTACCATTTGTTACCTATTAGATGAGCAAACATCCAAAAGTTTGATAATACCTTCTGTTGATAAGGCTAATAGAGTGTAAACAGGCAATATCCGTGAAATGACAAATTCATCTATCCTTTGACTCAGCAATTTTGCTTCTGGGAATTTACTGAGCAGAGATAACTGCAGAGAAATAAAAAACTACACACGCAAGGTTGCTTATAAACACTGAACTCCGATGTCCACTCCATACAGGGCTCATTAAATAAACTAAGGTACTTCCAGACAATGAAAAACTATGCCACAGGGGAAATAAAAAGAAACTCTGATATGAAAAGATCTCCTCCAAAACAAGGTGTATAATAGTGTATTTATACCAGCTTTTGTGGAAAGAGGTGGGAGAATAAGAAATACAATTTTAAAATCTGCATATGCATATTTGTTATAGATGTATTTAGAAACACTGGAAGACTAAGCAAGAAAATTAATTATGGTTATAGGGGTGGGAAACACTTTTTAGATTTTTTTTAACCATAAAAATAAACTATTATTCAAAAATTAATGTTAAAAAGCCTGAATGAAGAAGGCTCTGCTCTGGCCAATGTGGCTCAGTTGGTTGAGCACTGTCCCATGCAACAAGAGGTCAAAGGTTCAATTCCCAGTCAGGGCACATGCCCCAGTTGCAGGCTTAATCCCCACTAGGGGGCATGCAAGAAGCAGCTGATCGATGTTTCTCATTGATATTTCTCTCTCTCCCTACCTCTCTGAAATCAAAATACTTTTTAAATAAAAATAAATAAAATCAATAAAAACACATTAAAAAAAAAGAAAGAAGAAGGCGGCGGCTCTGCCCAGGTTCCCTTCTCTAGTCAAAGTCGTCGCTCCACGTATTCCTTTTCCACAGCTGGGCTTGGCCCCGTTCGTCTACCACCTCCTCCAGGCAGCATTCAGGTTTGTATCCTCTGGGAGGTCACAGAAGACCATCCTTTTGCATCATGCTTTACTGTATTTTTTGGAAGTTGTAAATATAGCCCTGAACTATTAGTTTCCTTCTCTCTAGATAGTGTAAAATATTGTTGTCTTCTCTGAGTCCCAGAGAGATGAAATAACTTGTCAAAGGTCGCCCAGGACAGAGCTGGATTGAACCAGCCCTGAGCGCTGTCTAAATCCATTTCCTCACTGCCCCCAGTTACAGCTCCCAGCAACCTCAGTCCCTGAGGAAGAGAGAAGTTCCCTTTGCCTTTCCTTATGCCCTAACAGAGTTCAGTGTGCAGTGACAGGCAATCACATGCTAGAGGAAGGGAGGGAAGGAGGAAGGGAAAGAGGAAGAGAAGAAGGAAGGAAGCAGAGAGAGAGGGAAGGCGTGGTACTCACTCCTGCAGAGACGGGTCTGAATCATCGGCATTCGCTGTCCCCAGGTCTGAGTCGTAGGACATGGGCTCCTCAGAGTGGTCTGGACTCTTGGAGCCGTTCTCGGGGAGTAGGAGGCTATCGGAGTTGAGGCTGCAGGACAGCTGGGACGAACTGGCCGTGTCCAGGCTGAGGGAGGAGGCAGTGAGCTGCCTGTTCCGTTGGATCTTATGGCCCGAGTGCTGGACTTCGATGTCCTCTGAGCCCGAGGAATGGGAGATGGAATCCAGAGACTCCTTCCGCTGTAGTTCTGTCCCCGAGGTAGTGACAGGGTCGAGCTCAGAGAATGGGCAAAGCCCAGAGAGGGCCAGCGGGGTGAGCGTCCACTCGTTCAGGATGGAGGACTTGTAGGAGAGTTCGAAGGACAGGGATGTCAGTCCCTGCAGGAAGCTGAGGACGAACTCGCTCTCCTCGGGGTCTCGGAGCAGGGCGGAGGGCTGGTAGTACTCGCACAGGCGGGCTGGCTCCTGCAGCAGCAGCTTCAGGTAGCACTCCATCAGGCCGTCGTTGAGGGCCAGCCGCAGCCAGGCCCGGCAGCGGCCCACGTCCGTGCTGACAAAGACCAGGTGCTCCAAGTCCGAGATGGTGTGCCTGGGAAGGGGGAGAACGGGATTATGTCAAGAAAGGACTTTGTATCATGGGGATGTCATTTTATACACTGGTTGGCAGGAGCCATACTAATGACACAGGGGAAAGACATGGTCCCTGTCCTCCGTCCAGGTAACTAGCTTTCCAGGGCACACCTGTTGTTAGTAGAGCTGGGGTGGGAACTGAGTGATCATTTTCGGGTTGGAGTGAAAATAATGCCATAGAATGGGCAGTTTCTGAGCTGGGCCTTGTGGGATTTCAAGAGGGAATAGATAGGAGGGCCTCGTAGGCACATGAAACTAACAGAAGGAAAGGCATAAAGGGAAGGAAAGCCACAGAGCTGTAACAGGAGTGGGGAGCACTGCCATTACAATGTGGGGAGGAGTGGGTGATTTGGTGGCAGAGCCAGGTAATGCAGGTTTGTGAGAATCCAACTGCTGAGGCAGAGTGGGGCAACGGTCCCCACACTAGGCTGTGCCTCAGAATCACCTGGGAACTTGGTCAGGATGCAGATTCTGGGCCCCCCACCGAGTGAACCAGGCTCCAGGCTAGCATTTGGGGGCCTGTGGGCTATAGGTTTTTCCACAGGAAGGTGACTTGACCTCAGCTGTGCAGACTTTAGGGTGGGTTGCTCTGGATAAGATCAGACCCAGGTATACCAAACTCAGTTCCTGAACACCTCGATCTGATTAAATGCCCGACTCTGACTACCACCGTCCCCTGCTCATGCCCCCTTCATAGGAGGACAGACCATGCTCTATAGGACGCAGTGATTGGCTCCGGTTTGCTTAAGCTCAGTAAATGTCAAGAAAGGACAGAATGAGATAAGGGGGACAATTAGAAAGCCATTGTCACCCAGGAGTGAGGTAAGAACCCGAGATAGGGCAGTGGCAGTAGGCATGGGAAGGAAGACTGGAGACTGACAAAGCACCATTGGGTTGAAGGTGGCATTTAATAGCCCTTAGAGGCACAGTGCCAGCTGCTTGCTCCGAAGTCCAGGCAGTTAGGGGCAGGGCCACAAAGACAAGTGTCTCAGAGCAAATATTCAGATGCTCTTCCTGGATTCCACTCTTTTACAAAAAACTCCCTATGCCATGTTAGGAGTAAATACTTAGCACACAGATGTTCAAGCGTTCTAAGGCGAGGTCAGCAAACTTCTGTGAAGGGCCAGGTAGTAAAGATTTTAGGCTTTGCAGGCCACACCACCTCTGATGCAGCCACCGAACTCTGCAGGGTGTGGCCAAAAGACGGCACCTGCTGCAGGTGACCAGCCAGGGGCTCAAAGCAGTGCCAGGCTGTTGCCTGAGGAAGGAGGGGCTAATGAGGCTTGGTCGGACAATATCCCCCACCTCAGCCATCCATGTTCTAGACACAGGAGCGCCTGCTGCTTTCCTGCAAAGCTGAAGAGCCCCATGTCCCACCCCCCAAAGCTCCTTCCCAATGCAAACCCGCCCGGGCTGGTCTCACTTGTGGGTGATGGCCTTCAGGAGGGGCCAGAAGACAGGCTGAGGCAGAGGCTTCTGGTAGGCACTCTTCTTCCTTTTCCCCCCGGCCTCCGCTCGGACGTGCTTGGCGTGCAGGCCGTGGATAAACACGGCCTCCAGGGCGCTGCACATGGTGTTGGCATCTCCGTCTTCACTGGTGACCACTGTGTCCGAGGATGCATACTGCTTCTGCAACGCCTTCATGGATCCCACTAGCTTCTTCTTGATGACCTGGGCGGGGTCAGACGTAACACAGGCCTTTAGAATATATCCTATGGTGACCCCTGGAATGTAACTCTGCCTGTCACAAAATACATGTACAACTACACATGCACATACCTGTATGTATGTATCTGCATGTGCCTTCTGCAAAACTAGCACATGCGAATTATAGAAAATAAAGATAAAGCATACAGAAGGAAAATCACACACACCATCCAGAGATAGTTATTATTTTTTGCAAAGATATTTGTGTATCTATTTTTTTACAGAATACTTTGATTTTTAGAAAGAGAGGAAGAGAGAGAGAAACATCAATGTGAGAGTGCAACATCAATCAGCTGCATGCCCCCTACCAGGGATCGAGCCCGAAACCCAGGCATGTGCCCTTGACTGGGAATTGAACCGGCAACCTCCTGATGCATGGGACGACCCCTAACCAACTGAGCCACACTGGCCAGGGCTCTTCTGTTTTTAAAACCAAGTGTCAATAAACTGATAGCCACATAAACCTTATGTTAAGCACTGGCTCCATCATTAGTAATGGCGATGGGACTTGGGTAAATCCATCTAGGACAGAGGTGAGGTGTTCCACCTTAGTTACGTGACCAAGATGCCACACAGAATCAAGAAGCTAAGAGGCAACAAGTGCTGCTTTAGAAGAATAAAAAGACCAACAAACAGGAGTATGGTCTACATTCAGAGAAATCAGGTTTAGTCTCAGCTGTCAGTCACCAGCTGGAGCACCTCAGACATTTCACCTCTCTGAGCCTCACTTTCCTCACCTGTTAAATGGAAAGAATATTTCCTGATCTGCAGCATGGGGGGGGGGGGGGGGCATGTTCCCCTTTCACTTAACCTTGTGTCCTTAATAAATGTTTGTTAAATGAATAAATTACAAAATATACAAGTCTTCTGGAAATACAGAGTAAAGAGAGTTCTGTCAAAATAGAAGTATGTCAAAATTACCCAAGTAGCCCGGCCAGCATGGCTCAGTGGTTGAGCCTTAACCTATGAACTAGGACAGTGATGGTGAACCTATGACACGGGTGTCAGAGGTCACACGCGAACTCATTTTTTTGGTTGATTTTTCTTTGTTAAATGGCATTTAAATATATAAAATAAATACCAAAGATATAAATCTTTGTTTTACTATGGTTGCAAATATCAAAAAATTTCTGTATGTGACACGGCACCAGAGTTAAGTTAGGGTTTTTCAAAATGCTGACACGCCGAGCTCAAAAGGTTCGCCATCACTGAACTAGGAGGTCATGGTTCTATTTCCAGTCAGGGCACGTGCCTGGGTTGCGGCAGCTCAATCCCCAGTATGGGGTGTGCAGGAGGCAGCCAATCAATGATTCCCTCCCATTACTGATGTTTCTATCTCTCCCCATCTCCCTTCCTCTCTAAAATCAATATATATATATTTAAAAATTACCCAATTATTTGAAAAAGGACTGGAAGGGATTGCAAAAAAACTGGTTTGAATCATTAGGTGATAGGATTCTGGATAAATATTATATTGTTAGTTAAATGTTCCTTTTTTATAACAACGTTCATGAGACGTAATTTACATAGCATAAAATACTCTCATTTAAAGTATACAGTTCAATGGTTTTTAGTATATTCACAGAATTGTGCAACCATGGCCACTGTCTAATTTTAGAACATTTTCATTGCCCTAAAAGGAAATACTGTACCCACTGGCAGTCACTCCCTATTCCCTTCCCCCAAACCTTTCTGTCTCTATGGAGTTGCCTGTTCTGGACATTTCATATAAATGGAATCAGACAATAGGCAGCCTTTTGTGTCTGGCTTCTTTCATTGTACTAGTAGCATGTTGTCTTTCATTTTAGCTTCTTTTCCTCTAGGTTGTAGCATTCTTCATGCATCAGTACTTCATTCATTTTTATGCCAAGTAGTATTCCATTGCATGGATATACCACCTTTTATTTATCCACTCATAGTTAATAGACGTTTGGGTTGTTCCCACCTTTTGGCTACAATGCTGCTATTGTGGACGAAAGGGCCACGTGCTAACCTGACAAGCTCAGGGGAGGCCTGCATGGCGGTCTTGCAAACTCTAAGACCTAAAGTAACCACAAAGGATGGTCTGAAATTAAACTTTAACTGAAAGCAGTTATGGTGGGTAGTCACTTCCTAGGCCAATATCTTCCCTGACAAGGTCCATCTTTACTTTAACTGAGCTTATTGTCTTTTTGCTTCTGGGATAACATGTCATTAAAATGTCAGGGTAGCTTGTAACTTCCCTTTTTCTGGATCCCTCAGGGCACAACAAATGGCACCAAGGCGGAAACCGTAAGATCCCTCATTGTTATTATTATTGAGTTAATTGTTGACTGTTAACTATCCTGTACCCACCTAAGTAATGTGTCTATCATTTTACTTTTTATCCAATCCCAGAGGTCCCCCCACTTTTGCCTTCTCCCACCTCTCTAATCTATCACCAATGGATTCCATGTAACCCACCTACATCGCCTCCTTTGATTGCAATGCATAAAAATAGATGAAAAACCGCCACTCTCTGGAGCATTGTCCCAACTCATTGAGATTCTACTTCCCCGCAATTGCTGACGGTTAGGCTCAAATAAACTCACAAAAATTCTTTACCAGGCTTGAATGTTTTTACATTAACACTATGAACATTCACCCACAATGTTAGGGGCAAAAACAGAATATTGGGGACTAGCTATAGTTATAAGAAATATGTACCGTGATTGCCTTGATCTGATTAAAGAAAGGACATTCTACCCTGGCTGGGAGTTGTATGCCCCTGAGACCTGGGAGTCAACCTTGGAATCCCTTCCATTCTCATTCAAGAACTATTATTATCATGGAAATATTAACAACCTCATTGCCCAAACAATGGAGTCCTGCTCCAGGCCCCATTGCCTACTTCCCCTTGCCTGTAATTCCTACTTCCCCATGTAATTTTTGTCCTACCCAACATAAGCAGCTGGCTTATGGAGGGGGAGGGTTGGAGAGCAGATGTTTGTGGCTGACCTGCTGCTCTCCCATACTACCCGCATTATTGGAATAAATGCTCATACATGATTCAACCCTGTCTCTACTTAATTGGCTCAAGTAGTGACAGGCAGCCTGGACCCACTGGTTGTCCAGTTTCAACAAGTTTTTGTGTAGACATATGTCATGTTTTCAATTCTCATGGGTATGTACCTAGGAGTGGAATTGCTGGGTCCTATGGAGCACTATGTTTAACTTCTTGAGGAACTATCAAACTGTTTCCCACAACGGCTGCACCATTTTACATTCCAACTAGCAATGTATGAGGGTTCCAATTTCTCCTTAACCCCACCAACACTTATTATTGTCTGCCATTTTGGCTGTAGCCATCATAAGGGGTGTGAAGAACTATCTCATTATGGCTTCAATTTGCATTTATCTAATCTATAATAATAAAAGCGTAATATGCTAATGAGACTGGACAGCCAAACAACCTTCCAGACGTCCTTCTGGATGAAGCCGGGGCTGCAAGGGCCGAGGCAGCCACAGTGGCTATGAGGGCCAAGACAAGCCGCTGCGGCTGTGAGGGCTGAGCCCCTTGCACGAATTTCGCGCATCGGGCTTCTAGTCCTATATAATAAAACCCTCATATGCAAATCAACCAAATGATGGAACAACTGGTCACTATGACGTGCACTGACCACCAGGAGGCAGACACTCCACACAGGAACTGCCCCCTGGTGGTCAGTCTGCTCCCACAGGGGGAGCACTGCTCAGCCAGAAGCCAGGCTCATGGCTGGCAAGTGCAGTGGCGGTGGTGGGAGCCTTTCCTGCCTCCACTGCAGGCAGGTGGTAAGGAGCGAGGGGTCCCGGACTGCGAGAGGGATGTCTGACTGCGGCTTAGGCTCGATCCCTCCAGATATCCCTCGAGGGGTCCCGGACTGGGAGAGGGTGCAGGCCAGGCTGATGGCCCCCCCTTCTCCTGCACAAATTTCGTGCACCAGACCTCTAGTGTCTAATAATGGTGAGCATCTTTTCATGTACTTACTGGCCACTTATATATCTTTTTTGGGGAAATCCTTCATTTTCAGGTAACCTTTATTAAATCCCAACTGTTTTTTGGTAAATTCTCATTTTATCACCAATAAGATGGTCTAGAAAGGGCAGGGTTTCCTCAGAGCTTGCTTCTGCTATAACTTTTTTCTCAGCCTGAGGCCTCTCTTTCCAGACAGTGTCCATACATTTCAAAGTGAGGAAAGCCAATGAAATGGCTGTTCTGTGCACCTCCTTCCCCACTCTTGATCCTCCGTTGTCACCTACCGAGATGGCATCCCGGGGGTCCACTCCATTTTCCACCACTGACAGCATTTCCACTCAGGCAGCAGCTCCCAGGAAAAACCACATGACACCTGTTGAGACAGATGGTGGCCAGGTGAGCAAGCTCCCAACTCACCCCCCCCCAGCCAATCCCTAGGCCCCCAAGCAGCTGCAGGAGGTCAGCCCATTCTACTGCAACTGAAAGAAAGGCCTCTGAATACAAAAGTAAAAAATTGAAAGTGGGTTTTAAGGAAGGAAAAAAGGAAGGAAAAAGTCCAAGGGCCTGGATCTTGGGAGGGAAGGAGCCCTGTGTGCCAGGGATGGGCCTGCCCCAAGGAGTGGGTGGAAAGTACCCTTAACGCCACACCAAACGCTGGCACAAACGCAGGGAATGAAAGGCTGACAATTTATATACAGAGCTGAGGGTGCAGGGGACACTGCAGCTGTCTGTGCAAAGAACCCGCAGGGACCAGGAAGCAGGCCTCACAGGTCAGTCAAGGCTTGGGCCTTGCATTCGCCCCTCTGACTCCTGTCTCAGCCTGGTGTCTGCCGCGCAGCAGTGAACAGTGTTGTAGGCAGTTAGACAAGAGCAGAGCAAGGACGAAGGGTCAGGTACAGAAAGTCACCAGGGTGGAAAGCCCCAGGTGCCCAGCAGTGGACAATCAACTGTAGGGTGGGGCCTTGTTCCCAGGGTGACTTTTCCTCCCCTGGCATATCGCCAGTCATGAGGCTTGGACCCCTGACCTTTCCTCCCTAGAGATAACATCTAGGCCTCAAGTGTGTTTCAGCTCCAGGCCCAGATAAGCAGCAAAACCAGCCACGGCTGACATCAGGACCAGCTGCATTGAATAATGACCCCCTGCCCTGATGCTGGCCAATCATCCTGAATGGACACACCTGGAAGACTACGGAATGTTCTACTGAGATCTTCTCCTGGGACTCCCCTAAAATCTCCACCCTTAAAACCCTTAGGACGGAGGACCCAGCGCATTCTCCCTCCCAGGAGCAGGCCCAGAGCCTTTCCCTTCCAACCCCACCCCCTCAGCAGGTTCCCATTAGCTTCCTCACTGCCAATCTCCAAGGCCCTTCCTTTACCTCCATAACTTGTTTCCTAAACCCATTTCTTCCAGGAATTACTTTTTCTACCTCTGTTATTTATCCAATAAATGTTCTCTTACAGTTTGGGTCTTGCTTTGTATTCTTTCCTAGCCAGAACCCAAATGTCGAGGTTGCTGAACCCAAGTTTGATCTAACCCCACTGCTCCTACCACTGCCTACAACGAAACAGCTTCAAAAGGGAGCCGAAGCCGGTTTGGCTCAGTGGATAGAGCGTCGGCCCTCGGACTGAAGGGTCCCGGGTTCGATTCCGGTCAAGGGCATGTACCTTGGTTTCGGGCATATCCCCAGTGGGAGATGTGCAGGAGGCGGCTGGTCGATGTTTCTCTCTCATCGATGTTTCTAACTCTCTATCTCTCTCCCTTCCTCTCTGTGAAAAATCAATAAAAATATATTTTTAAAAAAAAGGGAGACTCTCTGGTTACACATCTGCTTCTCCTTTGGGCTGCGAAAGTCAAGCTTGAGTAGCACAGGGACTTGAGTAAAGGGGAACAACACGGGTTCTATGGACGGACAGGGCCACATGCTAACCTGACAAGCCCAGGGAAGGCCTCCGTGGGGCGGCCTTGCAAACTCAGAGACCTAAAGTAACCACAAAAGATAGTCTGAAATTAAAACTTTTTTAAAAAGCAACTTATGGAAGTAGTCACATCTTCTCTGACAAAAGCCAACCTTTAACTGAGCCTATTGTCTTTTGCATCTACATCAAGCATGTCAAACTCATGGCTTGCAGGCAGTGAGTTAGACATGCTTCATCTACTAGTACGTTAACATACCTTTGGAATGTCAGGGTAACTTTTCTTTTTTTTTATTTTTTAAAATATTTTATTGATTTTTTACAGAGAGGAAGGGAGAGGGATAGAGAGAAACATCGATGAGAGAGAAACATTGATCAGCTGCCTCCTGCACGCTCCTTACTGGGGATGTGACCACAACCAAGGTACATGCCCTTGACCGGAATCGAACAGGGGACCCTTCAGTCCGTAGGCCGATGCTCTATCCACTGAGCCAAACCGGTTAGGGCTCAGGGTAACTTTTCATTTTACAAACCCCTCAAGGCACAACCAATGGATCAGATTAGAGACTACAAATCCTCTCCTTGTTATTGTTATTTTTATCATGTTAATTGTTGATTATCCTGTCCCCAACTATGTAAAAGATGTATCTAACCCACTTACATCTTCTCTTTTGACTGTAATCTATATATATAAAAGCCTAAGTGGCCGTTTTGACTATTCGACTGGTAGCTATGACATGCACTGACCACCAGGGGGCAGACACTCTGACCAGTAGGTTAGCCTGCTGCTGGGGTCCAGCCAATTGGGACTGGACAAGACTGGCCGGACACGCCCTGGAGCCCTCTCATGGTCCCTCCCCAGCCCTGATCGTGCACCAGTGGGGTCCCAGATTGCGAGAGGGCGCAGGCCAGGCCGAGGGATCCCACCAGTGCACGAATTCGTGCACCGGGCCTCTAGTGTATAAAATAAGGTGCAAAACTGCCATTCTCTGGAGCATTTTCTCAATCCCTTGAGATTGTGCTTCCTGGCAATTGTCGACAGTTTGGTTCAAATAAACTCACAAAAATTCTCTGTAGATTTGCATGTTTCTTATGTTGACAATTCTAATCTCAGTTTGCCATTAACCAGCTAGGCACACTGGGGCACTGTATCAGCCTCTCAAATGGAGAATATGACTGTGGAAAGTGCCTAGGACAGGGCTAATATGTACCAAGGACAAATGGTATCTACAATCCCAGTGGATGTGGCCACCTAAATCTACAGGCAGAGAATGCCACTGTGTAAATGAATATGCACAAGTAGGTGGAATCAGTACACAGGAAAATCCCTCAGGCAGCTGGCTTCCTCCCAGGAGTAGTGACTAAGGGTGAAGGTGGGGTGGGGGTAGGGGCTGTGGTCTTAGTCTGAGGGGGCTGCTGGTTGGCCTGGCCCCACGCCAGCCACTTGGAAAGGCCAGGACCAGGCAGGCACATTCACATCTAAACAAATCTCTAATGAGCACACAGCTGAGCTTGAGGGGACACCAAAAATAAAAGGTGATTGCTGTCTCTGCTCCCCAAAACTCATGGCCTAAAGAAGTTCACAAAACCAAGGCCTGCTAAATGAGTTTTAGACCCTTTACATACATTGCCTCATTCTATTTCTCATAACCACTCTAGAAGGCTCTTGTATTACCACAATCTGACTGATAAGAAATAGAGGCTGTCCCAGGTCAAGGAAATTCCCAAGATCCCAGAGCTGATATGGCAGACTACCCCAGCCAGGACAATGCCAACACCAGCTCAAGGGAAACCTCTAGACTCCTGAATGAGTGCAATCCCCTCCCTTCTGGAAGAGGCTGGTGCGAGCTAGGGCTAAGGGTTGGGGGAAAGGGCGCAGGAGGAAAAAAGGGGGCAATGAGGGATGGGGGAAGGAAGGCTCTTCAGCTGGTGGCCCTGGTGGAAAAGGCTCTGATTCAATCCTGGACTTGGCAGAGGGCAAACAGGACCCAGAGCCAACCTCGCTAAGTAAGGACATGCAGAGGGAGGGAGGTGTGCACGAGGAGGGCCCTGCAGAGCCAGCTCTAGTCAGGGTGCGACAGACCACCAGGAAGAACACTGGGCCTGGGCTGCAGCCCTGTCTGCCTGCCTCACCCTTCAACTCTATTCCTGCTCACACCTACCCAGGATCCTCAGGGCCCCCCCCAGGAGATCAGCTCCACATTCTGGCCACCAGGGCGACAGGGAAAAGGGCATGTGAGTCCCTCTGCAAACATGCCCGATCCTGGAGGCTGGGCTCCTTCTGGGCTACGTGGTACAGCCCCGCAGGCCAAGGCCAGGTTCTCTGGCTCCAAAGCCTAGGGCTCCATCTAACTAACCCCTTTCAGCAATTCCAGTGGCCCAAGCCTTCCCTCAGGCCTGCCTTCTACACAGAGCTTGGAGATCCCAAACTGACCTTCCCTCGGCCAGCCACAGGCCAGGCCCTTCAGGGCTTAGACCTCAACAATCTGAATCATAGCCTGGGCCCATTAAGACCTCATTAACTAATTAACTGAAAATATGAGAGTACTCATTGGAGGGGGGGAGGCTTATCAATAAGTGGATGCTCTGGCCAAGCAGAGGCCTACTAAAAACCAAAGTAGCCCTGCCCGGCGTGGCTCAGTGGGTTAGAGCATCATCCTAATACGCCAAGGTTATGGGTTTGATCCCTGGTCAGGTCACATACAAGAATTAACCAATGAATGCATGAATAAGAGGAACAACAAACCAATGTTTCTCTCCCTCTCTCCCCATTTCCCTTTCTCTCCCTTTCTCTCAAATCAATAATTAAAAACAAAAACAGCCCTAGCTGGTTTGGCTTAGTGGATAGAAGGTCGGCCTGTGGACTGGGGGGGTCCCGGGTTCAATTCCAGTCAAGGGCACATGCCTGGGTTGTGGGGGGCTATGATTCAGATTGTTGAGGTCTAAGCCCTGAAGGGCCTGGCCTGTGGCTGGCCGAGGGAAGGTCAGTTTGGGATCTCCAAGCTCTGTGTAGAAGGCAGGCCTGAGGGAAGGCTTGGGCCACTGGAATTGCTGAAAGGGGTTAGTTAGATGGAGCCCTAGGCTTTGGAGCCAGAGAACCTGGCCTTGGCCTGCGGGGCTGTACCACGTAGCCCATAGTCTATGGGGCTTGTTTCACAGAACACTCTTCACTGACACTAAGAACCAAACCAAAGGGAGGTGTGGCTCCAAAGAGACCTAGGCTGAAGGGAGTACGGAGGGACCCTGAGCAGCACTACTCTCTGAAAGGGTTCTTCAAACAGCACCAGCGGAATTTAGGGGAAAAGGTGACTTTCTGACTTTTAGGAAACTCCACACTCTGCTAAGTCTGCCTCTCCCCATAAGTACTAATCCACCCCGACATAGCTCTTCAAACTTCTCTATCTCATTTAACTCCACAACAGTCCTGGGAGAGGAGGGTTTTACAAAGAGCACTGAGGCTCAGTGCCAACAGGCCCCAGGTAGGGAACCGCATTCGCGGGTTTCCTCATTCTAAATCCTGTGCCTGTGGCCAGACCAAACTGCCTCAGGTCTTTGGTCCGAAGAGTTTCAGGCAAACTTATTACTTACAGAGCCTTAAGAGGCACTCAGAAACTCCATTTATCAAATAAGGCTTAACATCAACAGGAAACAATCTTGCTGAAAAGATCTGTAGCCCCAACCAATTGAGGCAGCCGAATTTCAGAGCCGTCCTTTCTTAAATGTTCCAATACGCAGTTAGGAAAGAATTGTTCTGGCTGTTTTTCTTCATTATGCTGCCTAGCCCCTAAGTATGTGCAATTTCACTTCCTCCAGAAACCAAGGAAGAAAGAAAAGAGAAAAATGGCTTACATGAGACTCACATTAAAAGAAGAAATGGATGACCGGCTTCACCACTTTAAAACACTCCACCCATCAGTAAACAGCAACCTCCTCTCCTTAGAGACTTCTCAGCCATTCCCAACAGCCTCCACTCGATGGCCTGAATCCAATCCTGTACCTGGCTGTTCAGAACAGCCTGGCGTTTAAGTCATTCAGCTCCTACAGTACCAATTGATGAGTCATGGTTTTCAGTTGGAAAAGAATGACAAAGTTATCTTCTGATTCAGAAAGGCAGCTGATCGTTCAGCCTTGTGAGCGATGAATGAGTAAACAGCATCTCCTTCCACCTGAAGAAAATTGGATTTCTGGTCCAGCTGGAGGGCGAGAAACTTCTAGCTTGTGATTCCCAGACCAAGGGCTAGTGGGTGAGGCCAGAAATTGAAGTCAGTTAACACTGGCTATCTTTTTTCCTCCCTCTTTCTTTCCATCCAATAACCACCATCCCGTCCCCCTACCCCACCCCACCCCCATATTCTTGTCCAATACCCTTAGGATTCTAGCAAGGGCCAAACTCTGAACAAATAAAAACAGGTACTTTGCCCAGTTCATTCACCATTACATTTCTAGTGCCTAGAACAGTGCATGGCACACAGTAGGGCTCAGAAAATACTTGCTGAGTCAACTGATGAATAAAATAAAGGCTCAGGGTGGGTATCTCCCTATCATAGACTGTGGAGAGTTGAAGTATACAACTCTTCAGAGGTGGGAACTCCTTCCATTAGACCAAGCTACCAACAGGCTGAAAACCATTCTGACCTATCACACCTTCATGGGGAGATATTGGAGGTAGAAGAGCATTCAATTTTCAAATGAACAAGATTACAAATGGCAAGGAAAGACAATGATTCTGTTTGGGGCCCTTTAAAATTGCTGTCAACTGGCCAATCCTATGAAACCAGGTCACCAGAATTTGGAGGGAACATGCACTCAAAAGCCCAGATTATACAGGCTGAGCATGGGGCCTGGGGCCAGGCGTGTCCTCTGCCTGAGCTACTCTGAGACAACTAAGCTGTGTTCATAGGTAACCAAGGGGCCAAAAGTCAATGATGCAACCCCTGCAAAAAGAGGAAGCGATTCAACAGCCTCCATGCCCACCTAGGCCTCAGCCTCCCAGGACCCACTCACCTATACTCTTTACAACATGTAACATCTCCTCTGGCTCCCAGTGTTCCCTGTGTTCAGTGTTAGGACTGGTCTGTTCTCAGCTCTAGTCCGGAGGAGCACTCTGTGAGGATCCTCTCCAGGTGCTAGGACAACACACATGGACATAGTTCTGTAACCACAGCCAATCCTGCACAGCGGTACTTTCTAGGTTTCTTCAAGGCCAGAACACCAGCCAAAAGGAAGTGATGGCTTCGGTTGCCCCAGACTGAGTGAGCTGGATGGGTGGCCATTCCTCACCTACCAGGCATTTGAAAGATACCTACCATTCCAGGGGCCAGCACACATAATTTAATAATCCCTGGGACAGATATAGGGAACCAGATATCCAGGAAAAGCCACTGACCGAAGGGGGTGTATCTCTACTTCTCTATACTTATTTACATCTGAGGCCCTGCACGCACCAGGGAAGCTGTTCAGTCTCTAACTGCCCGGCTGTTAGACTGAACAAGCACCTAGATTTGGCTGTAGAGGGGCAGCTGGTGGGGTGGGCAGGACACTCTAAACTAAGATCTCAGATTGAATGGGGTGGGGGGTGCTGGGTCAAGGAAAGAATGGGTAGAGGATTGGGGTGAAGACAACAGAAGTGAAAGGATATGGAGACCCCAGTTTAAACAAGATTTTGAGTGGGAGCGGTAGGAACTGAGGCAGCAAGCGTTGGGGGCGGTTTAGCCAAGACTTAGGGATGGAGGATGCCCTCAGGATGGCTGGAAACGGACAGGAAGTATGATAGGCTAGGTCCTAGTTAGGGGTTGAGTCTGTGCAGACAAGATACAGGCCTGGGACGGGACTGTGACCAGAGTTATCGAGAAGAAAGGGGTGAGCCCCAAGTTTACTTTGGTGGTGGGTCTTACGTGAGAGTGGGCAGAGGTGGTGTTTTGGAGGAGCAGGTCTTGGGAAGCTGAGCTGTAGGGAAATTGGGGTAAGAAAGCGGACCCCGAAAAAGGCAACCAGAATGGTGGGTCTCAAGATCTGCGCGGAGCATTAGGCTTGCCGAAGGGGCCGAGGGGTGAGGATGACATGTGTCAGCGGGAGCTGGAGGGCTGCAGCCGCGATCGGGGCTGGAACTGGGCTAGTGTGGGGTCAAGGGTGAGACTGCATTTACGCAAGACGGGTGGTGAGGGGGTGGGGAAGGGCTGGCGTCGGGTCCCGGTGGGAGAAGACGGAGGGGACCGGCCGCAGCGGCAGTGAGAGCGGGAGGAGGAAGCGGGGCGCGGGGTTTGGGCTGGGGAGGGTGAGGGCTCCGAAGCACGGCGGTCTCAAGGCAACAGGGGGTTCGGGATCACGTCGAGGGCCGCTGGTCCATCGCCCGCCCGCGTCTCGGCCCGCCGCCCTCCACGCCCCGCCGCCCAACTCACCAAAGGAAGTGGGGAGCGGGGCAGGGGGTACCCCCGGCCACCGCAGCCGCAGAAGCTCGCCCCGAACCCCGCGGCCTCCAGTTACTGACAACAGCAAGCTGCGCCCAGGGCGCCTGACGCCATCACGTCGGCTCGACGTCCGGCCCCGCCCCCGGCCCGCGGAGCCTATCGCGGAGCCCGCAGGAGCGGGGGCGGGGCGGGGGGCGGGGCTGGCGCTCCGGGACGCCCAGGGTTCCCAGCCCCCGAGTGGCTCTAGGAGGCTCGGGGTCGGTGACCCTGTGAATTCGGAGAGCCGAGGCCGGTCGTCGGGCCGATCGCGTCCTCGCTGCCAGCTCCCCGCAGGGTCTGCGTCAGACTCTAGACTCGGCATCGGGGTGCCTGCCCCCTCCCGGCCTCAGCACGGGGCTGCGTAGCGTTGGGGCTGCCGCTTGACCTCCTGCAGCGAAGGTTGCCCACTTGTAACACGGGATCAATGACCGCTACCCCATTCTTGCCTTGCCGGGCCATCAGTGCAGCCGGGGACAGGGCTCGGGGCCAAGTCGGAGCCTCCCGCCTGGAGGCGTTCAGGAAAATCACGGAACCCACACCTTACTCTCAAAGGACGCGCCTCGATAGGCCCCTTGGCATTCTCCTTTACCCAGCTCAGCAGCAGGGAGACGCAAAGCTCAACGAGCCATAGTTACGTTTGTTTTTCATCGTAGACGTGACGTTTCTCTTTCTAATGGATTCAAAACAAAAATAGCAAGGGGTGGACTGCGGCGCTTCAGACACTTGGCAGATGCAAGCATTGGTGTGACCAGGGATGCGGAGGTAGGGCTAGATGCGGGTCCAGGGAGTCAGTCCTTGTGGGTGGCTACCGGGCTGGTTGAGGATCAGGCCAGTTCTGGGAAGCAAGTTGCACTGACCTCTGCGGGGAGTGGGTGAGGGGAACCGGGGGTGGGAGGTGAGAGAAGTGTTCCTGTGCTCCATGGCCCTTTCCTGAAATGAAGGGGTTCTCGCGTCTCTGAGAAGGTGAGGTTCCAGAGCCTGTTCCCACTTATAGAATCAGCTGTTGGGGTGTGCCCCCCCCCCCCCCCCCCGTCCCCCGCCCTCTACGGTGCAATTCTCTCTCCAGGAGTGAAAACGCACTGGCTCCCTAGCTTTTAGGCTAGGTGAGTGAGTGCTAAGTGCCTACACTATGGTTAATGGTTGAGCAGGAAGATTAGAAATAAAAACGTAGTAAAATGTGAGATGCTCTGCCCTAAACTAAGAGATGAGGGAGTCGGGGTTTTAATATTCGTGGTAAACAGAAGCTCCTGCTGTTTGCCAGGTAAAAATGTGTCATTACCAGCCACCTGGAAGGTAAGTGCCTTTGTCACCCCCATGGTACAGATAAGAAAACAGGCTTGAGAGCGCCAACTTGGGGGGCCCAAGGCTGCACAGATAATAAATTCTCGCCCAGCTCTTTCTGAGTCTAGTTGGAGGGGTAGCGTAGTTCCCTCAGTAAGAGAGCAAGTGGGCCTGAGGGCCAGGAATGCTTAGGTTCGAACCCCAGCTCTACCCCGTGCTGTTTTCTGGGTCTTCCCTAAATCGGGCCCAAGGCAACCCAATAAGCGTGGGGCTAAGACACCTGCCACAGTGCCTGTATTTTTTCATAGGCCCTTTGAGTTAACACTGAAGATAGAAACTCCTCTTGATGTTCAAAAAAGAGAAGTCAGGTCACACTACCCACGGCCCCTTAGCGCTGGGAAGAGGGGTCAGAGTGTGTGAATTCATGGAAGTTTCAAAACCTCTCTGAGCCTCAGTTCCTCATCCGCAAATTGGGGAAGATATCAGCTGATGTGAGGATGAAATGAGATCACATCCTCAGGAGAGTTTTTGGTCTGTAGCAAGCACTTGAAGATGACTAGCTATTATTACGACAGTTCTGGCCATTCTCACCTTTCCAAGCCAGTCACGTTCCTGCCTTTCACTGCTCTTCCGAGCACTGGAGCCAGATCCTTTCTGGTTTGAACCCCAGATATATCCTTACTTGCCATCAGATTGGAATCCTCAAACTAGCATTCATGCATCTCTCTCCATAGTGGAATAGCTGGTTTTCTTCTGGGTTCTGCTGTAGGAAGCTGATTCTTCCCACCCTCCTTAAGAAAAAAAAAAAGGATTTAAAAGTTTTTATCATTTATCAACTATACCTCAATAAGCTAGAAAAAAATCACAAGATAATGAACGGAAAAAAAAGAACAATATTTATTGTACACATAGGTCAATAACATTTTCAGGGAGCCTGAGGAGGGGGTTCGCTGGGTGGCAGGGTCATGTGCTCATTCGCTGGGCTCTTGGCCGCAGGGTCTGTAGCAGCAACCTTCAACACTGAGAACTCTCCACGCAACCTGGAGTGAGAAGAAGGCCAAGGCTTTTACTCCTGAAAGGAACAATTAGACTCTTCATTATTCCCTCATTTTTGACAAGAATTCTAATTATTCCCAATCATTTACATTTTGTAGAACAGCTCATCCTCAGTAGCCGAATCCTTATCGTGTAGCTCCTGTGCCATGTTCTCTACCTGTGTGGCACTGAGAGGCCTATATATATCTCTCAGCCAGAGCGGCTGCCTCTTCCAGAAACCGCCTTCCTAGAGAGCAGACAGGGAAATATGAACGCTGTGTTCCTCCTACTTTGTCCCCCCACAGTATTTTATCCTCCTCACATTTACCTCCATCTTGTGTTCCGGTGACCATCTCATACGCTGGAAAAATGGAAAAAAGCCCCTTGGAGGAAAAACACATACTGACAATTAGTGATTCATGCCATTTCCATGTCTCTCACACGCACAGCTCTGGTCTTATTAGGACTATATGGGTGCCTGGGTCCGTACTCACGAGCAAAGTCACCACACACCTGGGACCTTGAAAATAAGCCCTTGCACGCTGGACTTGCAGAAGTTCTCTGTCTGTTTAAAGTGGCCCCACAAGGTCTCTGGGGAGACTCTGTATGTGGCTTGGCATAGAGTACAGGCAGGATTTTCAGCCCCACTCACTTTCTTGGCCCTTGACCAAGTGCCCTCATGCAGTGAAAGCAAAAAAGCACCACCACACTGGGCAGAAACATGGTACATAGGTCCCCTTTAGACTGGGTCTCACATGCATCATTTGCTGGGGCAGGGTGCGGGGGGGGGGGGGTGCTTTTATTTTGCTAGCTGCTTTATCCCATAAGTTAAACCACACCAACTAAATGTCCGAGTCCAACTAGCCAAGTTATCTAGCTTGCCGACTTTCATACTGCAGGCTGTCACTGATGAGTGAGTTGTGAAATCAGTTTAAAGGTCATAACCAGCACCAAAATACAAAATATTCCCTTTTGAATACAAACAGAATAGAAAAAAGAAATCAGACTGCATAATAATTTTGTTTTAGAAACTACTTATGTCTGTGTGGTATGTGTGTACCGAGCTGTGACAGAAACTGTACCTCACAGCCCAAGCACAGTACAATCAATGAAGAAGTCCCCAACAGGAAAGGAGCCATCTTCTTTCTGACACTAGTGTGGACGAAAGGGGCCACATGCTAACCCGACAAGCTCAGGGGAGGCCTGCATAGCGGTCTTGCAAACTCTAAGACCTAAAGTAGCCACAAGGATGGTCTGAAATTAAAACTTTAACTAAAAGCAATTATGGTGGGTAGTCTCGTCCTAGGCCGGTATCTTCCCTGACGAGGTCAATCTTTACCTTAACTGAGCCTATTGGCTTTTTGCATCTATGATAACATATCCTTGAAATGTCTGGGTAACTTCTAACTTCCCTTTTTCCAGACCCCTCAGGGCACAACAAATTTCTTTATTGTTATTGTTATGTTAATTGTTGACTGTTAACTATCCTGTACCTAACTAAGTAAAAGAAGTATGAGTCTATCATTTTACTCTTTATCCAATCCCAGAGGTTCTCCCCGCCCCCCACCCTGTCTTGCTTTCTCCTGCCTCTCTACGCTATCACCAATGGATTTCATGTAACCCATCTACATCTCCTCCTTTGATTGTAATGTATAAAAATAGGTGAAAAACCACCATTCTGCGGAGCATTATCCCAGTCTATTGAGATTCTGCTTCCCGACAATTGTCAATAGTTTGGCTCAAATAAACTCTCAAAAATTCTTTACAGGTTTGAATGTTTTTACGTTAACACTAGCATTGTGACCATGGAGCAAGATATCTTCCCTTTCCCCTTCTCCATTTCCTTTTATTAAAGAAAAAGACAAACTATTGTCTAAGGTCTCTCCCAGTTAAAATTCTATGAGGTTTGGATAAAGGGTATAGAGTAGGGGCCTGAAAACCAATAGGATGAGATGTTTTCCTGCTATTTTACAGGAAGAACTCATATATTCTACCTTTCATCAGCCTTGAAGGAGACTAGTGGCCTTACCCTAAGACCATGTGGCCTTCCCGACCCCTTCCCTAGAGCCTCCACCACCAGCAGAAACACGTCCAACCAAGACTTCTCCCTCTGCACCGTTTCCTTAAAGGACCAGTGACAGCAGACGCATCTGTCAGTCCCATTCTATCTCAGCTTTGGCTGGGAGCTAATCTTGCAAAATCCAAACAAAGCATCAGGATAAATAAGTATTCTTTACAAATTTGGCGGTTTCCTCATTGAAAATGAGGAGACTGAAATTGATAAGTTCTAAGTCCTCTAGTTTTCTTTTCTTTCTTTCTTTTTTTTTTTTTTAACTTTTATTAGTATTTATTTTATGATGAATTTACTCCCAGGCCATACACTTTTGTTTCTTAAGTTTCTTCTGGGATATCTTTTTTTTTCTTTTTCTGTGCATCCTCCTCTTCTGGTTTAGGGACAGTCTGTTCTTTTTCAGGAAGGATCACCTCAATGTGGCAGGGAGAACATATCTATGGGTTAATCCCCCCATGAGCTCTGTGAGTTCTGTGCCACATCTTGGGAGCTTTGTTCAGTTAGATGTGCTAAATGACCAGAGAATCTACATCTATATTCCTACACTCTGCAAAAATTGAGCATTCTTTTTGGGCCCCCGACCCTGCCTCTAGCCCTACTCTTTGGCCTGGGCATATCTACTAACTCTACCATTTTAACCAGAATGGCACATATCTGAAGGATGTTTGGTGGCTTTTTTTAAAAAAATTGATTTCAGAGAGGAAGGAAGAGGGAAAAAGAGATGGAAACATCAATGATGAGAGAGAATTATGGATTGGCTGCCTCCTGCACGCCCCATACTGGGGATCGAGCCCATAACCTGGGCATGTGCCCTGACCAGGAATCAAACCGTGACCTCCTGGTTCATAGGTCGACGCTCAAACACAGCCATGGTGGCTGGGTTTCACTAGTGTTCTTAAAGTGAACATGAAGATTTGAACCTATTGATTTGCCTGATTTTGTGGGGTTTTCTGGGTCAAGTGAATAAGGAACCATTTTCAGAGGTCACCTCAAGCTATTTATGGGAAGAGGACGCTCCTCTACTTCTAAAATTCTACTTTAAAAACTGCCAGACTCATATTTACCTTGAGCTTCCTTCTTTACTTTCCTCTGATGGTGTTCTACGACAATAAATCTGTTTGGGAAGAAAACAACATCATGATTATTCATCACAATGACCACTATCTCCTTTGACTCTTGTTCCATAGTTCCTAACTTAGAATTTTGCATGCAGCTGGCAATGTATTTTATTGGCTATTTTAGAGAACATTCAGCAAATAATTCCTAACAAAAAACTCTTAGAAGTAGGAAAATAAAAATATCTACCAGAAACCTACATAGCAGCTTTGTTTTAAGGTCAAGAACAAGAGTAGGATGCTTATTATTACTGTTACTATTCATCATTTTTAGGAGGTCCTAATCAATTTAATTTAAAAAACAAAGTATTGAAAAAAGATAAAACATATTTGCACATGAGATGATGTATAACCTAAAAAGCCCAAAAGCATCTATTAAAATTTTATTGTCAGTACTACAACAATTCAGTAAGAGGGCTAAATCCATGATCAAGAGATCAACATGCAAACCTCAATAGCTTTCCTATATCCCACAAATAACTAGTTAAAAAATGAAAGAGCCCATTTACAATATCAATGAAAGTACATAAAGTACCTAGGAATAAACTTAACAAAAAATGTGTAAGACCTATGTGATGAAAACATTAAAACTCTTCTGAAGGATATTAGGAAGAATGATGACCGTGCTCCTGGAATGTTGTAAACATGTCAATTCTCCACAAATTAACCTTCAAATGCACTGCAATCCTATTCAAATTCCAAGATAGTTTTTAAACAAAACTGCTCCCCACCCAAAAAAGACAAAAACTGGCCAGCTGACATTTAATAGGAAACATATGCAAGAATAGCTATGAAATGTAGGGAAACAAGATAAAAAAGCAGGAGCTTATCCTACTAGATATCAAAATATATGAAAAGGAATTGGAACTATATAGTGATACTGCTACTGGTACAGAAAAAAAAACCTGGATCAACAGAACAGAAACCAGACAAAGAGAGTATTTTAGATCCGTGAAGAAAGAATGAGTCATTCAATAAAAGATTCTAAAACAATTGCATCTTTGTGTGGGGGATAAACAGTCAACCAGACTAAAAACAAAATGAATGATAGACAGATTTTAAAAACTTATAAATAACAAGAAGTGTTATAAAAAAAACTTGAATACCAGAGACTACTTTCATACCACCAGGTGACAAAGGCCTTGTTAACAAAACCTACACCCCAATAAGCCATGAGAGGACTGACAGCTATGGTGACACTGTCAACACAAAGCCTACTCTTCACAGCCCTTGCCCTCTTCTCCCCTTGACTGTTTATCGTCTTCCTGTTCATTTATCTTACTCCTTTCAGTAGCTTTCACTGAATTTCAGTGTTTCAAATACTCCCCAGTGTTTTTGTGTTTGAGGAGACAGAACGGTGGAGTAAGAAGCACAGGCTTTGCAGTCGGGCAGAATGGAGTTCTGCCACTGGGGCTTAAGTTGATTTCCATCTATGGAAGAGGGTGGTACTATCATCCTCACAGGGTTTAATCGAACAATATATGGAAAATTGTTCATCCTATGCTTGGCATAAACTAGTGCTAAGTTTGCCAATGGTGCCATAGTGGTCAAATCTATCAAAGGGTTCTGCCTGTGGTATCAGGCTCAAAAAGTTCTTTCCCACCACTAAATTACAATAGTATTGCTTCTATTTTCTTCTAGTACTTTTACAGGTTCTTTTTTTTTCTTTACATTTACGTAAATACATTGGTTTGAGGTGAGAAATAGAGATCTGCTGTTATTTCTCCCTCAAATAGTTAAGTAGCTGTTTGATTACCATTTCTTAATTATATTTCACTGATTAGAATATTGAAAGATGACATTTCAAAAGTCTTAGGAACACATGGGTCTGTCTATTGCTGGACTCTGTATGCTACTTCAAATAAATATTAAGTCCTCGTTGTGAAATTGACAAAATGCCTCATCTTTCTGCCTTTGAACACTATTATTGTCCACTACAAAACAAAACAAGGCATGGTCCACATCCTCAAAAAAGCTTATCTAAGTGGGGAGAGGAAATAATGAAACTATATATATATATATATATATATATATATATATATATATATATATATATATAAATGTAAAGTTAAACTACATAGACATTAAATGCAGTATAGGAGTTTATAGCAATTCCAAAAAAGCAAAGAGCCATATGCCACCTGGAGGTGTAGAGGGTACTGTCTGGGCAATGGCCAGGTACTTTCTTCCCAGAGGCCTTGGCCAACTGATCCCCATGCTGGTCCCCAGCCTCCTATCTTGGAAATCAGACTCTGTCCTCACCAAGACAGAACTCACTTCTTCCTACAGGGCAAGTCTGACCTTATCAATACCGCAGGATTAATAAAAAAATCAGAATGACAGATTATGACCTGACAATGAGAACTACATCTGCTCCACAGACAGCATCTGTCTCTACATGATCAGGGAAATACATTCTGTAGAGATAGGCCACCATGGCCCACTAAAGCACAATCAGAAGGCCACTGGTGAGAACAGAATTAGAACAAAAGGAATGAGCTGAATCCAGTGTTTAATGGAAAGGACTGAGCAGGGACCATCTGTCTCCCCAAAGGCACAGCCTGGCTAGTGGGCCTGACTCTCCACATCCGCTTCCTGAGAGGCCATCTCCACACGTAAGGATGGACAGGGCTAATGTTGGTCTCCTCTTCCCCTTTCCTCTGCTTTTTGCTGACCAACCCTCCTGCCCATAGACAGGTTTCTCCTTAGCAGTTAATACATCCCATCAGGTTTTACTCAAGTCTGATGGACCAGGAAGCCATTTGGTCCTTATACATCTCAACTCTGCTCCATGACGTGTTAACCTTAGTATTTCTCTCTTGGGGTGCCACTTTTTAAAATTATTATTATTAATATATTTTTATTGATTTCAGAGAGGATGAGATAGGGAGAGAGACATAGAAACATCAATGAGGAGAGCGAATCATTGATTGGCTGCCTCCTGCATGCCCCATACTGGGAATTGGGCCTGCAACCCAGGCATGTGCCCTTGACCGGAATCGAACCAGGGACCCTTCAGTCCACAGGCTGACGCTCTATCCACTGAACCAAATTGGCTAGGATGGGGAGTAAAAATTGTTTACCATATGTTTAGGTTCTCAGGGGAGGGGAATGCCTCACTATTGCCCTGAAAAAAAAATGGTGACAAAACTTAAGAAAAAGAAGTAGGACCAGCAGGGCTGGAGTACTCAGGGAAGATTTCATGAAGAAAGATGAACTTGAACTGGCTTTTGAGAGATTCACAGGACTTCTGCAGGCAGAGCAAAATACGGGGATTTTAGGTGGGCTAGGCACAAACAAAAGTGGGAATGGCATGGTTTGGCTGGGTTATGGTGAGGGGCTGCTTTGTCTGAATGGAGGGCTGACATGACTGTTGAAAGGTAAATTAGGTTGGATAGTAGGGTAGAGTCAAGATCCCCAGCTTAGTAAGTCACTCTTTAATGTTAGCAACCTGCCTGTAGGGAAAATACACCATCAAGTAATTGAACAAAAGGGACACAGGCAAGCTCCAGAAACAGGTGACTCTAACATGACATGCTTTAAAGAAGCCTGATGCAGGCTTTAGGTCGCTGTGTTTTAACTGAACCTATTTACACTGTATCTTACACACTGGAGAAGAAAGCTGCTGAGTAAATCTTATGAATTGACAAGATCACACTTTTATCTTTTAGCCACGTCCTTTCTTCCAGGGTGACATAGCTCCATGAGGTGGAGATCCTATATCTCTCCTCACTTCAGCGAACAAGGAAAGAAATCAGCGATAGAAAGAGAGTAATTGGTGAGTCCATCAAATTAACATCATCCATTTTGAATTGAAGAAATTTTGCTATCATGTCAGCTCTGGCTTATTAAACTTAATTTTTCAAACTATTCTTGTTATCTTGATTTCACTTCCACAGAGATCTCTGGGAGTGGGGTGGGCTTCCTTTAAAAATCCCTGGAATATAATTTGTAGTAAAAGAACAAAGCATTTCTCAGTGCTCATGACTAAAGAGGAATATCAAGTAGGAGTAGGTGGGAAAGTGAACTTGATTTTCAGGTTGTGGGCTCTGAATCTATTCTAAAGACGGAATATATTTTGGAAATCTGAATCGACTGTTGTCTTACCACAATGAGACAGAAAATTACAATAAAAATTATTGTTACTATAGTCACAATTATTGCCACGATGAGATTCTTGTTATAGCCATATCCTGGCACTTCTTTTGTGAGCTAAAAACAAAAACAAAGAACGTATTAAAAAAAAAAAAAGATGAAAAGGATAAAAACTAACTGTTCTCTAGCCTATTCTAACTATTCCTTTTGTTGTTGTTGTCAATCCTCATGTGAGGATATTTTTTTCATTGATTTTTAGAGATAGTGGAAGGGAGAGACTGACCCTCCCATGCGTGGGCCGATGCTATAACCATAGAACCACACTGGCCAGGGCTAAATATTCTTATCTACTACTCTAAAACCCCATTCTTTCAGGTGAATAGCTTGTAGGTTCTTAAAGAACATACCAAATCTAATGTGCTGTGTAATCTGAGCATTAGCATTTTCTGTACAATTTATTTATCTTTTCTCGTCTATCCTAGGAACAGTGGCGCCGTTCTCTAAATGAGCAAAGGAGGGGATCACTGTCTTAGCCCCTCCTTTGGCCAAGACAAGATTCGGATCAGGCGCCCCGGCCTTCCTGCCTGGGTGCTTTCATGGCGTGTCCTAAGCTGACTAGAAGTCCAGGCCTTATGTTTGGGGAGCTGTCCTCACCTCATTGGGCTCCTCCTCTTCCTGTTCACCCTGGGCTTCCAGCCTCTGCTTTATCCATGGATCCGCATCCCGCTCTACCTTGGAAACAATTTCTTCTTGCTGTTTACTGAGCAGCGCCTTCGGGGGGCCTGTTCCGGAAAATAGCTTCCTCAATTTATGTTTGTAACTTGAATGGTAAAATTCAGGTTTAAGAGAGAGATTCCCTCTGTTGTTTATCAAATGACTCAGGGACATGTCTCCATCCTGCACATTTGAAAAAGGAGTTTAATGAATGGTAATAACATTGGTTCTGTATTTTCTGGATTTTCCTCCAAGAAATAGGGCAATATGTAATTTGGGGCACGTATAACATCACTCTTATTAAAGTCTAACTGCTCACGTATTAGGGATGGTGAACTCTCTCCATTTCTGTCGGAGGATGCCCTCTCTGGCTCAATAGTCAGCTCAGTGTTGGTGTCCTTCCGGCCCGGCAGTACTTTCATGAATGGCCCTTCTATAAGTAGTTCTTCATCTGTCAAAAAAGAAGAGGCCACGTTAGATAATGAAAGACTCACGGGACAGCTCTTTGTCCGTCCACAGCCATCCATCCCAGTCAGATAAATTGGGAATCAGCAAATACCTGAGTGCCATTTAGAGAGGAGAAAAATAAACCCCAACTGAAACCTATGATTGTCAACACAACAAAAGGAGAAAAGGTATCATTTTTAAAAGTGGTTATTTATTGAGAACATTCAATAGTATGGAATATAGTAACTATATTTAGGATTATTCCATTGGTCCCCAAGGGCCAATTGCCACTTACTGAAGAAATGCCAAGTCTGGAAGACCCACTCAGTGAGAACCTGAAGACCTACTGTGACTCCCCACATTCAGGTACCCCTCCTGTCTTGCCTGAGATGCAGAGTGGGCTGGAGGCTTCCTCCCTCCACTCTTCAGGGAGCTTGTGTTCTTGCTACCATCACAGATGACCATGATTAATGCCCTCTGCTAACAGGTCCTCATCTGGACACACCCTTCTCCACTTACCCATTGATTCCTCAGCTTGGTCCCTACTTCCATATAGCCCAGCCCCCATAACAGAAGGCTCTATACAGAAAAAACCACTATGTCCACTCTTGCTCTTTGCTTAAATTTAGGCAGGCATCTGGGATATAGATTAAGAGATTTGCCAGGTTGTGTGCCACTGTGGAATGTTCAATAAATCTATGGAATAATACTTGGGGAAAGAGCAACTTTAAAAAAATACATATTTTTATTGATTTCAGAGAGAAAGGGAGAGGGAGAGACAGAAACATCAATGATGAGAGAATCATTGATCGGCTGCCTCCTGCATGCCCCCTAGTGGGGATCAAGCCTGCAACCACGGCATGTGCCCTTGACCATAACCGAACCGGGACCCTTCAGTTCCTGCACAAAATACCACGTGCGGGTGCGCATGTACAGTGCGATTGAAACTTTGTGGCCCAAGCGCAGAAGTCGGTATTTTGTGGAAGAGCCACACTCAAGGGGCCAAAGAGCCGCATGTGGCTCTCGAGCCACAGTTTGCCGACCACTGGGCTAGGGTGAAAAGAGCAACTTTTGTCAGATGCCTACTTTGCTTTCATTTCATGTCATTTCTTATATTTTCAGCTTGACTTGGGGAACCATCCAAAGCTTCTGACTGCATGAAGGTCAAATGTACCATTGTGCAGCTGGGGTTTTTTTCCAGAACAATTACAAATATTGCTGGTGGTGGTGAGGGTCAGAGAAGGAGGTAAGGGTCCTGAGAGAGAGGGAACATGGGCTTGCGGAGAGCCCCAACTTGAAACCAAAGACCTGGCACTAGGTGACAGCACTTAGCACTTTCTGACCTTGTTTTTACTCACCTGGGAAAGGAGATTAAAATGCCTGTTCTGCCCACCCTTGAGGTAAAAGGGAGTAACATAATTGGTCAAAACATTGTTTTGAAAAATAAGCAACAGCATTATTATTTATGATGTGCCCCAGATCACTGACAGAGACCTGCGCTATCTGGGCATGAAAGCACAGTTTGGAAGTTATCAAGTAGGTGCCAACAGCCTAATACGTAGGAAGGTACTTAAAAACACCTGTGTGTTTAGTGGATAGAACACCTTGTGTTTCAGAGCAAGTTCAGAGTTGGATGGTATACAGCGACCACTGGTCTAAGGATACAAGAGCCCTCCCATCCATTAGAAGGGCTGGGTGGCAGCTTCTGGGGATGGATCCAGAAACTCTCAAATTCCAAATAAAACAGCATCATTTGTACTCTTTTTTATGAAATTGCAAAAATAAACAAAATAAAGATGTATCTAGCCCTAACCCGTTTGGCTCAGTGGATAGAGCGTCAGCCTGCAAACTGAAGGGTCCCAGGTTTGATTCCGGTCAAAGGCATGTACCTTGGTTGCGGGCACATCCCCAGGGGGTGGGGGTGGGGGTACAGGAAGCAGCTGATCAATGTTTCTGTCTATCCCTCTCCCTTCCTCTCTGTAAAAAATCAATAAAATATATTTTTAAAAATGATGTATCTATACCTGTCCTACAAAGCAAAGGGCAATTGAAACCTCATGCATACAAAACCAGTTTACAAAGTGGCACACTAATGAGCAAGTTCATTTGTAAGAAAAGCACCAAGCAGAGAGCACAACACACACTATGTGGCCACTGATGTTAACTCCCTTCTCCCTTCCATTCTTCCCCCTCTATTCCTCTCTTGTTCTTTATCTGACTTTGAGCAAGGTGTAGTTCTTAGAAATCTAGGCAGTTGAACTCTGAATGAATGAATAAAAACAATGCAGTTACATTATTTGTTTAAAAATGTATTATCATCGCTTAAAAATAAAAAATTAAAACATAAATAAAATTTTAAAAGTTTATCTTTGGGCAATTCAGACTCACCACAAGGTGTACTTTTCAGACATTCAGTGTTACAATGCAGTTTGACTGTCTTGGCAACAGCCTCAATATTATTTCTAAATTGGCAGAGGCAGCAGGTCAAATGGCTAGGTAAGATCCTATAAATGGAAACACAGAGAATTAAATTAGTGACAAAGGAGTTACTTGAGTTGGTAGACCAAGGCTACCACAGAGCTGTGAAGAAAAGAATTGTTGGGGCTGCCCTGGCCAGAGTTGCTCCATGGTTAGAGTGTTGGCCTACACAATGAAGGGTCTTGGATTGGATCCCAGCTCTAGTCAGGGCAAGTACTGGAGGCAACGGATGGATGTGTCTCTCTCACATCAATGTTTCTCTCTCTTTCTCTTTCTCCTATTCCCTCCCTCCCTCTCTCTCTCTCTAAAAATCAATGGAGTCCTGGTCAGTTGCTCGGTGGTTACAGCATCAGCCTGGGGACAGAAGGGTCTCGGGTTTGATTCCTGGTCAAGGGCACATACCTCTGTTGCACATTCAATCCCTGGCAGATTGGGGCATGTGCTAGAGGCAACCAATTGATGTGTCTCTCTCACGTCAATCTCTCTCTCTCTCTCTCTCTCTCTCTCTCTCTCTCTCTCTCTCTCTTCCCTTCTTCCATCCTCCCTTCCACTGTGTCTGAAAATCAATGGGAAAAATATCCTCAGGTGAGGATTAAAAATTTTTTTAAAAAATCAATGGAAAAAAATATCCTTGGGTGAGGATTAACAACAACAAAAGCAGTTTGGTAGGGATCAGCTGGCCATTTGCTACTCTTGAATATAGTAAATAAATAGAGCGAAGGACAGAAGTGCCCAACAGAAGAATAAGAATGGTAGTGGGTATGGAATGCCTAGAATAAAGGTGATAGGCATTACAATTGGGTGACACTAACAAGGAGTTTAATTCAGAAGTATCTCCTTTTCCCAACCCAAAGGTCTCACTTTGGGTTGAGAATACACAGGAAGAGGGAAGACTTCTAAGAAGACTCTTGGATAAGTCCCCATCTTATGGAGTCCCTTTCTCAATTCCTAACTGTGAATGGTACATATATTAGAAATTACTCTGGGCATAAAACACTTTATGTGGTTACCTGGCCTCAAGAAGCCTGACTTAAGAAAATTATAAAAGAAGCCTAAAGAACGACTAAGTGAAAATAAATATAAGAAAAATCAACTTACAATTTTTCCAATTGAGGGGTCATCATGAGGATGCTCACAACTGTTGTAAGTGACACTTGTGTCCTCCCCATGTCTCTGGAGGAGAAAGCCCAGACATACATGATATAAACCCCAAGACAAAAACTGGACATTTACAAAGACACTTAGCGCCCTAACCAGTTTGGCTCAGTGGATAGAACATCGGCCTGCGGACTGAAGGGTCCCAGGTTCGAATCCGGTCAAGGGCATGTACCTTGGTTGCGGGCATATCCCCAGTAGGGGGTGTGCAGGAGGCAACTGATCAATGTTTCTCTCTCATCCATGTTTCTAACTATCTCTCTCCTTTCCTCTCTGTAAAAAATCAAAGCCAAAGATGATAATTTCAGAGAGCTCTTCTTGAAGAAATTTAAATTTATTTGTGTCATCAAATGAATGACCTTGGTGATACAATCTTTTTTCTTTTATTAAAACCGCTATCCTACTTCTCATTCTCTATTGTGCCCACCACTTGATTACTCTTTTAATACGTAACGCACAACTTGTTTCTTTTTTCTTTCTGAGGTCAACTGTATTTCTACATGCATCTACATGTTCCAAATCTGTATGTGTTCTTCAACGTCGCTCCCTTCCTCTGTTGGCTGTCTTGTTCATATGCATTCTTTCTTAATCATTTTTCTGTGCCAATAACTCTTATCCAATCACCCAGTTAAAATGTAAATTATGACCTTTCAGTCAAAACACAAAGTACTTAATCACTGATGAAAGTAAGAAAGCAGAAATCATCTCATGAGCAATACTTACAAATACTTTAATGCTGGCAATTTAAAAAGATATGGATCGTGGACAGCTGTCAGAGGATTACGATCGAGAATTCTGAAAAATGCAATGGAATTAAAATTATCTACATTTCCAATAATTGCCATGTAAGTTTATATTCGTTTTGTTGTTACAAAACTTGAAGGTTGAAAAAAATAACTTTCTGTCTTTATCCATATAGATCACCCTTAGAAACCGTACAGCACTCCTTTTCAGAGAATTACCCAGGTTTCTAAATGATAAAGTGAAGACGAGAAAGTAAAGGAGGAGGAGGAGGAGGAGGAGGAGGAGGAAGGAGGAAAGTAGACAGCAGAGGGGGAAAACTGCTGAAGAACTTTTCAGAATGAAAACCCTAGAAGTGACTATGCGCTATAGGAAATACTTTTTCTAGTGTCCTTCATAATTTAAGGGACTTTTCTTTCATCTCTAGAAATTAAAATAATTCCATAGTTTAAACCAACCAGTTAAAGACAAAAATAGGACTAATTCCTTGGTTTTGGAGCCAAAGAAGGGATAAATCTAAGAGGACCTGGTGAAAGCCATGCTCCCACCACATACTCCCATGTTTACTCTTGTATCACAGGCCTGCATCGTATGTAATCACCTGTTTACTTGTACATTTCCTGGACCATTAGCCCCTTGAGGGCAGGGACCACAATGTGTCTGACATAGTGCCTGACATTTACTAGGTATTTAATAAATGTTTGTTTAATAAATAAATAACATTTTGTTTATATATCAATACAATGAACAAAGTCGTTTTTGACACAAAATGTCATTCCAAATGGTAAAACAAATTTTCTCCTCAATTCTTTAAAAACAAAACAAATAAACAAAAAACAAAACAAGGAGAAACAGGATGAAAAGAAAACCTGTCTTTAGGTTAACTCTACACAAGAATTAGTAGTGGCCTTAGCTGGTTTGGCTCAGTGGATAGAGCATCAGCCTGCAGACTGAAGTGTCGAGGGTTTGATTCTGGTAAAGGGCACATACCTGGGTTGCAGGCTCGATCCCTGCCGTGCGGGAGGCAACAAATCGATTGTCTCACATTAATGTTTCTCTCTGTCTCTCCCCCTCCCTTCTACTCTCTCTAAAAATCAATAGAAAAATATCCTTAGGTGAGGCTTAACAACAACAAAAAAGAATCATTAGTGTACTTTTACAGAATATTATAAAGATAATTATCACAGCTAATACCAATTAGGCTGCTGGGCATCTGTGATGAGCATTTCATATTTAATACTCACAGTAACCTTATTGATAAATATTATTACCCTATTTTACAAATGAGGAAACTGAGGCACAGAGAGGTTATATAAGTTGCCCTAGGTTGTCAAACTAGTAAGAAGCAGAGCTGGAATTTGAATTCAGTTCTGACTTAAAAGCCTGTGTTTAGCCTGTATGAAGAAAAGAAGTTTAAAATAGTTGTTAGTTCAACCTTAATTTTGAGGCTACCAAACATAGAAATACCTTTTCAAATGTCATATACCCATCTGGGAGAGAAAATTACATTTTCTCTTTTTATTTCTGTTTCCTAATCACCTCCCATGATTAAATATTTAACTAGCTTGTAGTCATTGAGACTTTAGAGATTTAAAACCCTGAGTAGGTATATCAGTGAAAATGGTGGAGTAAGGCTCCTGAAAATTCATCCCTAAAAAGGGCAACGTAAAACAGCTGGCAAAAATAGAATCAATTTTTTCAAACTCTGGAAATTTAACCAACGGGCTTACAGGAATTCAGGGGACATTTATTCAAGATAAATTAAATTAATCCTAAGAACAGTGATCTGTATTGCTTGAACTCATTTTAGACCTTTGCTCTCCCTCCCATGGGTAACCCTGGAAAATAGTCCACATCCCCAGTACAGGCAGAAACAAAATCTCATTCCCAAAGAACTGTCTCGTGGTTCCCTGGAAGACCTCACTTGAAAGACTTGTCTTTGACCTGACTGAGAGCTGCCTCTGCCAAAAGCCTCTCTCCTCAGGGGAAATTTTTTTGAAAACAATTACAGGTAAATGTTTTAACATGGCAGCTGCTGAGGCAATGTATAACAGCACAAAAACACAAAAAGTAGCCTAACCAAAAAACTTAAAAGTAAAAGCTGAGAAATGAGATGTAATAGAGACTCTGAAGTTCTCTAACCTATGTCTGGAAAACTGGAAAACCATGAGACATATTCCTGGGAATCTAGGAAAAAACAATAGCGCTAATAAATGAGTTCAGCCAGGTTGCAAGGTACAAGACTAATATGCAAAAATTAACTATATTTCTATACACAATGAGTAATAGAAAAGTGAGTAATAGAAAAATAAAATGAACAAAACAATTCCATGCATAATAGCATCAAAAAGAATGAAATACTTAGGGAAAAAATTAACCAAAGAAGTGCATGACTCATACACTAAAAATTACAAAATACTGTTCAAAGAAATTCAATAAGATCTAAATAAATGGAAAGACATGCTCTGTTCACTGATCAGAAGATAATACTGTTAAAATGGCCATACTCCCCCAAATGATGTGTGGTTTCAAGCAATCCCTATCAAAATCCCAACTGACTTCTTTCCAGAAAGTGACAAACTAATTCTAAAATCATATGGCAATTCAAGGGACCCAGAATAGCCAAAACAATCTTGATAAAGAGGAACAACGGGGGAGGACTCACACATCCTGGTTTCACTACCAAATTTTGGGGTCAGTTTTGTGGTTTCTGTTTTCTTGACACTCGACTATTTGAAGTCAACACTTAAAATTAATTTGTTTGCCTCTACTCTTACAGCTGTACCTACAGCTGTGAACAGACAGGATTTTCTAGAGCAATGCAGAGTGATGGGATGGTTTCCTTCCGAGAGTCGGGAAAGAAATTGGAATGGGGCTACAGCTATTTATTTTTTTCTTTATATTTTTTCACACCACACCTTAGCATACACAGCCATATTCACTTCAGAGGCATATACTTTCTGAAAAATAATGTTCTGGGTGATTGGGGAGAGAAGGACCCTGTGGCAGATTTTTAGGAATTCTTTCTGCTTTACCATTTATTAGTAAAAGAGACTCATGGCTGAGTCTCCCTGGAGAACTCTGAGCTAAACTTAATTATTTCAGTTCTATGTTGCATATATTTAAGCAGTTTGGAACTTTGCACATGAACAGGAATCAAAGTTAAATTCAGATGTAGAATGTCAAGGACCATTCATATATCGGAGCAGCAGCACCACTGGGATCCCCATGACGATGCTACTTTGAATGTTATGTGCTTGGTGCCTTCTATTGCCCATGCCAAAGGTCAGCACTAAGAAAGCAGACAGTGCCACATATGAGTTAGACAAGTCTCTTGGTCTCTTTGTACCTTCGTTTCCTCATTTGAATAAAAAAATGAATGGCTCTTAAGCCATACTTTTCAGAATTCAAACTGGGCTTACATCCAGCTAACCAATCACTGTATGATGTTGTTACACATAGCTTTTTACATATGTTTATCTTCTACTTCACTTACAACTTGTCTAAAAACTTCATTCCATGCCAGGCCCGAAATGTTCCAAAGCTCACTTTTGTGATTAAATTGCAACCAAGATTTCTACAAAAAGACATAAGCAAAAGAAGACAATAAATATTATTTCAGATCATTTATCTTTTGGCAGTGATTCTAATTTATATATGATAAAACAACCTCAATACTCCCTCCACACACTAAATAAATCTCACTGTAGAAGAGATTTGCTTATGATATATGGTTTCATGTTTATATATGTGGTACATTAGATACAAAACAGTGAATAACCATGAGGTTTAAAATTAAGTTTTATAAAAATAATGAAGTTATATTTATAACTTACATATACTGCAAAAAAGGTAGTGATGCAAATGTATTCCTTTCAATAAATTGTATAATTGGTTGCAGGATAAATCTCTAGAAAAAGTAAAAGAAAAATAGTGCCTCAATTAGTCACTAGATATCTAATTAGTAGGAATAATTGGTAGAGGTTAGAATGATAATATTGAAAATTCAACTTTAGTCTAAACTCAAAATCTTAGGAGTTGTGATTTGAACTTTCGGAGCCCCTAACCCTGCCCTCACCTCTCTCACTTTCATGATCTTCATAAATAAAATATGCAACTATAGATCTTGATAGAATTTAAAGGTAATCTTTCCTGAGAGCAGAAGAATCAACTAGATAACCTTTTTTTAAAAAATATATTTCATTGATTTTTTACAGAGAGGAAGGTAGAGGAATAGAGAGCTAGAAACGTCGATGAGAGAGAAACATTGATCAGCTGCCTCCTGCACACCCCATACCGGGGATGTGCCCACAACCAAGATACATGCCCTTGACCGGAATCGAACCTGGGACCCCTCAGTCTGCAGGCCAACGCTCTATCCACTGAGCCAAACCGGTCATGGCAACTAGATAACCTTTTATGGTCCCATCAAATTTAGATTATGAGCTCAAAGGTTGTCTCTTCATATGTAATTACAAATGTATAATATTAAAAGAAATAGTCTCACATTTACACACCTTTCTGGTTTAGTTCTGTTTGTCTAAGCCAATTCAATATCAGGTGAAATAAAAGATGCATTTTCACATAACTTGAAAGGAAGGTACTTCTCTAATACTACAGAACTTTGAACTAACTCAGAATGATACTTTCTATTATATTAATAGAAATTCATTTTTTATTTTACATTGCTTTAAGAATCCATGAATGGAATTGCTTCAGTTGTACAGTGGTGGGGCAACAGAAAACAACATGGCACTGAATTTTTACTTGAAAACACCCACTGTTGTCTATAGTTGGCTCTCTTATTTCCATTGATTCCACTTTAGTCCCTCACTTTTCACCTGGATGGGTATAACTGTTTTCTGACTGGTATTTCCCTCTGTAATCTCCTCCTTTCTAATCCATCCTGCACAGTCACTAGATTAGCTCTCCAGAAGTGACTTTCAAATACCAGCCAGCATCACTTGGGAACTTACTGAAGATGCAAATTCTCAATCCTCCTCTGGACCTACTGAATCAGTACCTGTGGGGTGCAGCTTGAGTTTAACAAGCCCTCCAAGTGATTCTGTTGTAGGCTAACGTTTGTCCTAGAGCACCGGTGTGATAACATGGTAGCTTGGCATTCAAAGCCTTAGATGATCTGATTCTAAATTCCTACTCTCTCTACTTGTCTCTACAATGTATTTTTCCTGTGTCTTGCCTTTCCATGTGCTCCTTTTGCAAGCTTATTCTACCCAAGATGTCTGTCTGATGATCCCCAAGGGCCCTTCAAGGTCCTGTTCAAAAAGCTACTCTAGTAACATCTTTGCTAATCCAACTTGAAGTCTCTTTTCCCTCTGCTGTAACCAAAGCCAATTGATAGCTCTCATTGCCCATATCTATTTCCTCGTTTTAGAAGTTATTTTTGCATCCTATTTCCTCTGAGGATAGCTCCTAGAAAGTATGCACTGAGTCTTGCTCATTTGCATTATCTACTATGTTAAAAACAGACATATGAACATATGAAAATTCAAGTATCTCTCTCTATATAAAAGGCTAATACGCAAAGTGTCCCCTCGGGAGTTCAACCGGGAGACCAGGAGTTCGACTGCTTGCTATGACATTAGCTGACCACCAGGGGGCGGTGCAGAACAAAGGAAGGCCCTGGCCAGCAGCCAGAAGGCCCCGATTGGCCTTGATCGCCAGCCAGGCCTAGGGACCCTACCCATGCACGAATTTCATGCACTGGGTCTCTAGTTTATGAAATAAACAAACAGCTGGGAAGTAGAGGGAGAAAAATGATTTTCAGTTTTATCACTTCATGGCTCCCTCTTGTGTGCCTCTACAGCACGTTGTCTTCCATTTAGTACTTGTGCACTATGGTTTGAGCTTATGTTGACTTTCCCCATGAGATCATGAGTTACTAGAAGGGCAGAAACCCTGTCTTACCCATCTTTGTGCCTACAATTCTAGGTACAGTGCTAGTCTTTACTAGCTTATTTATTGATTGGCATTTTTAAATGAATGGGAATACTTATGATAGCATGAAATAATTAGCTTACAAAGTATTTCACAGTAGAAGTAATCAATAACCTAATCCATTGAGCAGTTAGCTCATTTGCTTTTCTCCAAACGGTAAGGTTTGGAACCCAGATGGCAGACACCCAAGACTAATACAAAAGTGGTTGTCCTCCTGAGGCTTGAAATGTTTGATAATCCAAAGGACTATTTTTAGTGTCATAGGAGACTCTTTATACTCACTTCCCTTAAGCCTTCTACATTTGAAAAAATAATCTATTTGCTAAAGAGCATCATTCATTTGCTTAATAAGGATTAAGCATACACAGCTTTGGATGCCATGGACAAAGGATCATAATTGAGTTTTATAGCAAAGAAAATCTCCTTATAAATAAACAGAATTACTAGGCAAACATTTCTTCCTTGACAAGGAGGCTGGAGAGATTTTTATTTTGTAATTAGTGGAGGTGGGGCATTTCTGATATGCTTATTTAGTGTAGACATTTCTAATTATACCACTTAACCATCATTTTAAGCATTTATTTTTTAATATTGGTATAACAATTCCTGTATTGAAATCCTTATCACCAGTCTGCTCTCTTGGTAATTTACTATGTTCTTAATACTATGTTTACATAATTCATCTGCTTAGTTAAACATTTAACGTGTAAATATTAATCTAATTTAGATTAAATTATCAAAAAATTCTGGGTTAATGGCATTCAAATTAATGCAGGTGCTCTATATTTTCTTGTCCTATAGGAGACAATTTGAGGTTAACCCGAATTCCTCTCATTTTACTAAATCAACATTTAAAAACCTTTTCTGTAGTCCGGCCAGTGTGGCTCAGTGGTTGAGCATCAACTTATGAACCAGGAGGTCATGGTTAGATTCCCAGTCAGGGCACATGCCCAGGTTGTGGGCTCAATCCTCAGTGTGGGGTGTGCAGGAGGCAGCTGATCAATGATTCTCTCTTATCATGGATGTTTCTATCTCTCTCTCCCTTCCCTTTCCTCTCTGAAATCAATAAAAATATATATTAAACAAACAAACAAACAAAAACCTTTTCTGTAAAGACTAGGTGGTAAATATTTTAAGCTTTGCAGGCCACAGTCTGTCTCGAATACCTACCTCCTTTGTTTCTTTTCTTTTTTACACTTTAAAAGTGTAAAAATCATTCTTAACTTAAGGGTTGTAAAAACACGTACACCATAGGTCCAATTTGATCATGGACCCTAAACTAAATATAAAAATAAGCAGATGGTATATGAACACTTATATAACAAGGCTCATATGGGTGTGTATAATTACTTACACCATATTACCACTTTTCCTCTATAACTGAAGAGTTTTTCTATCTGTATCTTGTCCATATGATTAAAAAAAAGAAAATGCATAGGAGATATTAAGTGCTAGAGATGGACTAGAGCCCTACACAAACTTATAGAATTGTAGAATTTTATTGATGGGAGAAATTGTAGAGATAATCTGTTTTGAAACCCTTATTTATTTTATCGATAACATAACGAAAAACTCAAATAGAAACAAAAACAAAACTCAAATAAATATAATTAACTTACAAATACTGGAGGAACTTCAGGCCTTCAAATGAATCCTTATGTAATTCTCTCAAATTATTTCCACTGAGATTTCTGAAAAATGAAAAGGTTATTTCTGGATCAAAATGCAAAATAACTACAACTATTTACTGCACAGAAATATAAATGGGGTAATGGTGCCATTATTATGTCTTTAATTAATAATTCAGAAGTCATTTATGACAATCTGTTCAAGTTGAACTAATAAGATGACATGCAAACTGTCATGAAAAATACCAGGTACTTTTATATAAATATTTTTTCCCAAATCACTGATGTGCCTAAATAGACTTTTCTACAAATCAATATTTAAAAAATGAGCAAAAAAGGACAGGGCAAATTCAGGGAAGAAATACAAATGTTCAATACATATATAAAAGTAGTTAAATTCACAATTAATCAGAAAAATTCAAATTTATTCACCTATCGATCAGCCAAAAAATGGAGACTATCCAGTGGTGAAAAGGTAGAGGGAAATAGATGCTGTCGTGGCCCACTGATTGGAGTGTAAGTTGGCACAACTTCTTTGAGGACAATTAAAATATATCAGCCCTGCTGGCGTGGCTTAGTGGTTGAGCGTCGAACTATAAACCAGGAGGTCAGGGTTGGATTCCTGAGTTGTGGGCTTGATCCCCAGTAGGGGGTGTGCAGGAGGCAGCCAACCAATGATTCTCTCATCATTGATGTTTCTATCTCTCTCCCTCTCCTTTTGTCTCTGAAATCAATAAAAATATATATTTTTAAAAAGAGGGCCTGCCAAATTTAATTTTTAAAACAAACAGAAATGCAATCAATGGTGATTGATTTGGGACATGGAGGGGGAAATACCATTTATCAGAGTTACTGACCTCAAAATTCTGGACCAAGAAGGATCGTACAATGCAGTTAGTTATTTTTTGTATTCATTTTTGGAGAGAATATACTCACAGTTTTGCAACAAAACGGTATGGCTTCCATGTATCTTTATTGATGTAAGAAATTGAGTTTCCTTGCAAGTTTCTGTGAAGAAACAATTAATATCCTTGAATAAGTAGGAAAAGAATGAACAGAATAAGTAAAACATCATGGCAACCTTGTGGGGGAATATTCAAATGCAGGAAATACCAGTCTTCCGATTTCCACAGCTATCAGCTTCCCAGTCTGCACAATTAACAAAGACATGTAATGAGGCAGCTCCTCAGAACCTGAACTTCTCTTGGATGGGTAATGCCAGTTAAGACTTGGAATGCACTCTTTCTAAAATCTAAAATGACTTCTACAAATCAATGAGAAAAG